GAGGTGTATGATTGAGTTTGGATATATGCATCCACTTGTGAAAGAATCATTACAAACAAGGCAGCGGGCATTCATCACCTCCAAAAGTTTTCTTGTGTCCCTTCGGTTTTCTGTGTATTATGTGTATGTGTGGTAAGGACACTTCAACAGATCTATCCTCTTAAATTTCAGTGCATGGTAGAGTGTGTCAGTAAGCACAGGCTCTTTGTTCTACAGAAGGTCTCTAGAACTTACTCTGCCTTATTCTGTAGATTACTTTTTTATCTGAGAATGTATCTTGCTGGTTATGCCAGGACAAAAAGCTGCCTTTTTTTTTTTCCCCCCAATGGACCATTTTTAAAATGTTGAATTTGTTACAATACTGCTTCTGTTTTATGTTTTGGTTTTTTGGCTGTGAGGTATCTGGGATCTTATTAATAACTCCTAGACCAGGGATCAAACCTGCACCCGCTGTGTTGTAAGCATGGAGTCTTAACCTCTGGACCACCAGGGAAGTCTCTCATCCATTTGTATGGCTGCATAGTACTCCCCCCAGGAATGCCATCATTTTCCCAGTCGGTCTCTTATTGGCTATGTAGAATGTTTCTGGTCTTTTGGGGTACCCATTTTAATTTTTTAGCATTTTACCATTTTAAACTGCGACCGAACTGCCAAACTGCCCCCTCCAAAAAAATATGTGGCATGTTAGTGATTGTACCAACTCATTTCTTGCCAGTTCACCAGTGTGAATGATACTGCATGGGAAGAGGCTGGGCAGAACACGGCTGTCTCAAGGCATCTTGCTTATGAAGACGAGGAGAAAGCCCTCTGGGCTTGGAGATGGGCGAGGTCCAGGTTTTTGCAATGTGGGAGTATTCTGAACAGTGCCTGTTGGGGGGCAGCTGGTGGCTGTTGGTTTCCCTATCTGCAGAATGAGATGATAAGGTTGTCACTCTCATGGCCCAGTGTGTAAGGGTTCAGTGAACTCAGATGGGAAGTGCTTAGCAGTGTCTAAGACATTTATTATTATCATTGCTTTTTCAAGGATGATATGTTTTATTTTTTTTTTAATTTTATATTTTTGGCCGCACCGCACACAGCATGCAGGATCTTAGTTTCCCAACCAGGAGTTGAACCCACGCCCCCTGCAGTGTAAGCACAGAGTCTTAACCACATCAGGGAGGTTTCTCCAAGAATTACATATTTTTAAATTAAGTTTTACAGGCAGGCACCAGCTCTGACAACCAGTCAGCCTCCCAGTTTTCATACTGTGTCACATGCTTACATAAACTGCACCCATAAACCATAAAAAGTAATTTATCATTTCCAATTCTTTTAAGAAAGTGACAGGAGAACCTGAAGACACTTATTAAGCAAACTGAAGGCTGGACCTTCCTAGGTTTTTATGAGCTTTTCCGTTTAATCATTTACAGTTACTTTGCTTGCAACTCATCTGGCAACATTTTTTTAAAGCAAATCACTTTTATTTTTTCCAATTCAGGCAACACAGTTTGCATGCAAACAACTCTCTTGTATTAATATTTAATTCATTTGATAGGGTGAAGTTATTAACTGAGGCTTAACTGGCATAAACAAATTTGGTAACAGACAGCTACTCCTCAGGAAGTGTACTGCTTAACAGATGGGAGCAGAACCGCTTAGTCATAATAGTAGCCAGCTAGGCTGGGCAGATTTTACAGATAGGACGAACCGTGTCTTACAAATTGGCAAATTTGATAAGCTAGATGGTTTCAGAGAGCTGTACTGTACTAATTACAGTAATTACTAATAAAATTTCACCCTGTGTTTTCATTTCTCATTCTGACATGTTGCCATTTTGCTCCTGCTGGAGTGGATCCTGGCACACCTTTCTCCATGCTTATACAAAATCCTAGGAATTCACACCAACACATTGTCCTGATGGGATCTGAAGTATGGGAAGTCGTCAACTAGGTGGAGAACAGAAAGAGCACAGAAGAGGTCAGTCTAGAGACAGCAGCAGGGGTCCCACCATGTGGGGCCTTACAGGAAGAGTTTGTAATTAATTCTAAGGGCACTCGCAAGCCACTGGAGTCTTTTTTTTTTTTTAACATTTTCTTTTATATTTTTATTTATTTTTGGCTGCTCTGGGTCTTCATTGCTTTTGAGGGCTTTCTTTAGTTGCGGTGAGCCGGGGGCTCCTCTTGGTCGCAGCGCACAGGCTTCTCACTGCGGTGGCTTCTCGTCGCAGAACACAGGCTCCAAATGTGGCCTTCAGTTGTTGCAGCTCGCAGACTCAGCAGTTGTGGTGCGCAGGCTTAGCTGTTATGCAGCATTGTGAAATCTTGCCCGAATGGGTATCAAACCCGTGTCCCCTGCATTGGCAGGCGGACTCTTATCCACTGTGCCACCAAGGAAGTCTCATTGGAGTCTTCTGATGAGTGGAATGAAAGTCAAGGTGACAAGAGTTAGAAGGCTATTAACCATGCGAGAGACCACAATGGCCTGTACTAAGAATGATGAGAATTGAGGGTTTAGGGAGATTAAGGAGGAGAAAGGGCCTTCTGTCCCTGCAATTCTTCTTCCTACTGCCAGCAGTGGGGTCTCCTGACATAGTCAAGCCTCTAGAGGTAACTGTTGATATCTAGTTGGCTGTCTGGGTCCAGAGAGTAGTGATTCCCTATTTGGCCACAATCCAGGTCAGATTTGGGGCTCAAATATGACCTTACCTGGGGCTTCTCCTTCCATCTGATTGCTCCTCATAGATCTGAACTCTAAAGGGATGGAGTGTCCCAGCCTCTGTACACACACACGTCCTCGTGATCGCATTCATTCTCATGAAACACTGAAGGCTCTCAAAGTTGTGTCTCCAGACCTCCCCCCATTTACACTGTTTGGTCAACACTGCGAATGTACCATGTAGAAACAGAAAATAGATTAAGGAGGAGAAGGAGACTTCTGTCCCTACAATTCTTCCTACTGCCAGGAGTGGGGTCTCTTGACATAGTCAGGCCTCTGGAGGTAACTGTTGATATCTAGCTGGCAGTCTGGGTCCAGACAGTAGTGATTCCCTATTTGGCCACAATCCAGGTCAGATTTGGAGTTCCATCTCTGCCCACCCCACCCTGCGCCTCCCACAGTCATTTCCCTTTCACGAAATGACACCTCTGTACAAGCGAAACCCTTGAAATCACTTCACCCTCTCACTTTCACTCCCTGCACAAGTCCTTTGGGCTTCAGCTTGAAAGTACACTGTGAAAGTGTGCACTTCCACTGTGGCCACACTCCCTGCGGTCCAAGCCACCTGTGACTCTCAGCTGGCTTATTGCCATAGTCTCCTATCTGCCCTCCTGCTCCACTAGCCCTTACCTCATATTCAATGCAGCAGCTGGAGGGATCTTTTAAAAAAAAGATGTTACCGTTTCAAAAGGTTGCATATGGTAAGAATTCCAAATAGTCTACAAGAACAAACTCAGTTTGTTCTCCTTTCCATGTCTTTGACTCTTCCATCTGCTGTCTTCTCTCCTCAGAGGTGACTCTGGATCCCGCTTCTTCTGTAGACTTGTAGAGACACTGTGGGCATGACTCTTTGCATTTGTGAATGATTTGTTTAAAATGTAAATGAGACTTTGTCCCTTCCTTGATAAAAAACCTTTTGATGGTTCCCCAGCAAAGTGAGACTAAAATCCAAGTTCCATCATGAGGCTATAGGACGCTGCTTATGGTACCTGGCCACTGCTTCCTCAGCTCTCCTTCACCCTCTCTGCTCCAGTCGTGCTCCACGCCCCCCTCCCCCCTCGCTTTTCTTCCACTCTCAGGATTTGCGCCCTGGCTGGTCCCTCATCTTAGCACACTCTTGCAGCCTCTGTGGACTTGCAGGCTGCCTAAAGGTCACTTTCCTGACTTCTCACGGTCACCATCCCATCCCCCATAGAGTGCATTTGCTCTATTTGTAACACTTCACAAAATGCGATTATTTATTTTCTCCAGTGGGCCTGGTCTCTTTGTCACCACAATTGGTGCCCAGCACAGAACTGGAAATGGCACTAATAATAATGATTTTAAAAGGAGAAAAACTATCGTTTAGGTCGTCACTGTGCCAAATACCGATCTAATACTTCATCAACTCTTTTGATTCTCATAGCCACTTTAGGGTTAGCTAGTATCCACATTTAAGAAACAAGGAAACTGAAGCAAGAAATATTATACACAGCTACTAGCATGTGAATACGCAGTCCTTTAATCGCTGAGTGAATGAGCGAATCAATGAATGGCCCTGAGAGGCGAGTGGCAAGGAGAAGTAGAGGGAGGCGGGCGGAGCCTAGGTCGCGGGAGCCAATGGGCACGCAGCTGTGGGATCGCCGGCTCCGCCCAAGCCGCGCGGAGGCCGCTGGGAGTTGTGGTCTCTCGCCCGCCTGGCCACGTCACTGCCTTGAAACCCTAAGTCCTCTCCTGAGTTTCTGGAGCGATCCGTATTTCCGAACCTCTAGGCCGGTTCGCTTGCCTCCAGGCCTATTATTCCTTCCTCCCTCTCTTTCTGACGCGTCCCGACGTAGTCTCCCGGTTCCGTCGGCCTCCCGGCATGCACCCCCCCCTCCCCCAGGCCCGGAGCCCGCTTGGTATCACCCTCTACATTCATTCCCCGCCCCCCACCCCGTCTCCCTACGGTGTGGCCTCCAGCCCCGCCCCCTGAGGTGGTTTCTTTCACGTCCTCTCAGCTCCTCCCCTTCGTGCGCGTGCGGCCCACGGTCCCGTCCAATTGCCGAGTTCCCCGCCCCACACACCCTTTCCCGGCCCCCCCCGGCCCTATTTGGTACGCCCCGGTCACGCCCCCTCGCGGACGCGGTTGGTACGCGCCGCGCGCCCCTGCTCGCCGCAGTGGTTTGGCCGCGGCGACCCCTCTCCGGAGGAGCGTCCCCTGCGCTTGGTACAGCCCGGCCCGTCTCCCCTGGAGCCGCGCGCCCGCGCCCCTCAGTCGGTGCAGCCCGCAGCCCCCCGTGCGGCCCGTGGCAGCCCCCCAGTCCGCTCGGCCCGCGCCAGCCATGGTCCGTCCGCGCCGCGCCCCGCACCGCTCCGGCGCTGGCGGTCCCCTCGGGGGTCGAGGCCGCCCCCTGCGGCCCCTCACGGCGCGCGCTGCCCGCTCGCGCTCCTGGCCGGCCAGCCCTCGAGGCCCGCAGCCGCCGCGGATCCGGGCTCGCTCGGCCCCTCCCATGGTGAGACCCCCGCCCTTTTTCCAGAGCTTTCCACGGCCCCGCCCCCGCCGGCCCCTCCCCCGGGCTGGCGTCTTTGTCCCCGGCTCCCACCCCCTCGGGGGTTTCTCCGGTGACCCGAAGGGTGGTCCCGCTTTGGGACCCGCTTCCCCCATGAAACCCCCCGGGTGGTACGCTCCGGGTTCTCCCCTTTGTTTCGCGTTCGGGATGGGGTGGCGGGGGTGGGGTACGGGGGCGGTAAGGGCTCAAATTACTGCTGACTCCGCGGCCTGATTTGAACGCTGGGTGGGGGGCGGGCGGACGGTCGGCGTGTACTGTTGTTTTTCCAATTGGAAAGTTGCTCTCTCTCCGCGCAGAGAAACTGGAGTTGGGGGAGGGGCGGGGGGAGATGGCGGCGAGGGGCCCCGCGTCTCGCACTCGGGCTCCCAGGTATTGCCCCCGGGGCGTTCTGCAGGGCGCCCGGGGCGTGTGCGCCCGGGGTTCGTTTGCGCGCTTGCCCAGGTGTGGGATGTCCCACTGATCGCGGTAAGCCCAGATCTTAAACATAAACACAGCTTCGCAGGGACGCTGAGTTAGACACGCTTCCCCAGACCCACAACCTGTACAAGCTTTTAAAAAATTTTCGTAAGGTTTTTGCGGGGCGGTAAATTCACACATCAAGACGTTTAAAAACACGCACAGCTAAACCGTGACACGTTTTTTCAGATGCGCCGCTTACCCTATCCTGAGGCTAATTAATAAATACCCTGCCTCACCGTTGTACGTGGCGGGGACCTGTGGCAGCTGCACACCAGTCTTAAGCAGGTTTTCTCGGTGTTAGAGTCAGATGCCCGGCCTCTGAACACCTCTCTGCTCTTAAACATCACCCTTCACTCCATTGCTTCCCTGGGGAGGCGGGTTTCTTAGCGTTCATGTCCGCTTGTGAACAAGCGTCTCCTGGGTCCTTAAACGTGCGTCTTAAGGCATTCATCTCTTTTCTCAGTACTAAATAGGCTTCCTGCGCAGTGATTAGCAAAACACGTGGGAGGCACAGCCAGGCTTTACACAAACCTGTCCAGATGTGACAGTCCTTTTAGGATTGCATTTAGGTCTAGTTCTTAAACGTGACCCTCCACCTTGATGCTCATCCTGCGTTCGGTGAAACCTGGGCTTAAGCTTCCCTGATCTTCAACCCCCAGATTAAAACGTGCTCAGCTTGATGGCTAGAAATACGGCCGAGTTTAAACAGGTGTCCCTCGTGCTCACATTACCCGGGTCCTTAAATGCGTCTGTCTGGATCCCAGAGGCTTCCACAGTTGTGTCATCTAACTAGTTTCTTGGATGTTGTGGGCTCTGGCTGTGGTGCCTACGCGCCCAGTGCTCCGACAGTCTATCTCCATCTCAGGAACACACACCACCATGTTCTTAGAGCGGGAAGCTCTCTGCCTTTCTTCCTGATCTCACTGGATTGTCTGAATCCCAGAACCACCTGCCCACATGGAGAGCACGCTTGCTCAGATTTTTTTGCCTTTTAAACTCTTGCGAAATACAGTTTTTCCTGTCTCATACTCTGGGGCAGAAGACACCTGTGTGCATTATAGGAAATTTGGAAAAAATACTCATTAGTAGTAAGATGAAAAGTAATAACCACTTTTATTTTTTCTGGCTGCCTGGAGTTACCTACTAGAGAGGTTTTCAAGAGTTTCCTGCTGCCCGGCTGTCCTAAGCGCTCCCTTGTTTGTTTTGAGATGTATTTGGTGTGTGTGTGTTTTTAAAGATGACTGGATAGTGCCCCATGTGTAGGATGTGTCCTGCTTGGCTTTATTGCCCCAACATTCTGGTGTTTTGCACATGCTCTCAAGACACTGTGTTTGGGAGACCCTCCGTTTGTTGTCCGGCTCCCGATTCCCAGAGGGTTCTGTTCTCTCTGCTTCTGGTCACTTCCTCCTGCCTCCCCAGGGTCAGCCTGAAGGCAGCCTGGGCTGCATGAGGGAGGGCTGGAGTCTGCCTGGCGGGAGCTGGAGGGGAGCCTGGATTTTCTCTCCAGGGCCGCAGGAACCGTGGAAGAGAGTTCTGTGCTTGGGCGGGATGGGGCAAGCCGGTGTGCCAGCCAGCCAGCGCCCAGTCTGGCTGTGCATCGTGGGCGTGTTCTGAGGCGGCTCCGGAGCCCCAGAGAGCTGCTTCTGAGTTGCATCTCAATAAAGGGACCCAAAATTGATGATCCTGGGAGGATGAGTGGGGTGCATCTCTTGAAGAGGAGGGCATGGCAGGCCAGGGTAGAGCCTGGCCCGAGCAAAGGCTGAAGGGGAAGCAGCTGGTCGCTTTCAGGGACCAGTGTTGAGGGGACAGGCAGGCTCCGGGCAGGGCGCGGCCAGAAAAGGACGTGGGGGCCACCCAGTCTGGGTCTAGGTTCTGGAAGGAAGGGTTTGGAGGCTGCCCGGGACGGTTTGTGCAGGGGGCCTGGGGTCTGGACGTTGGGGTGTCCCTTCTGGGGTGGGTGGAGAGCAGCTCCTCAGTTGCCTCTCCCTCTTCCACAGCAAGGTGCTCGAGTCTTTGGGGCCCTGGGCCCCATTGGGCCCTCCTCGCCCGGACTCGCCCTCGGGGGCCTGGCTGTCAGCGAGCACCGGCTCAGCAACAAGCTGCTGGCCTGGAGCGGCGTCCTGGAGTGGCAGGAGGTGAGCGCCCGTGGCCGGCGCCCTGGGAGTCTGCGGGGTGGGGGCTGACCTGGGGGTCTTGCAAGTGGGGGGCCAGCCTGCACAGCGGGTGTGTCCAGAGACCCCTCTGCCCCCACCACAGAAGCGCAGACCCTATTCGGACTCCACCGCGAAGCTGAAGCGGGCCCTCCCCTGCCAGGCCTACGTGAACCAGGGCGAGAACCTGTGAGTGCGGGTGGGGTGCAAGGGCGGGTGGCAGAGGGGGTGCGCCCCGCTGACCCTCTCCTCCCGCAGGGAGACTGACCAGTGGCCGCAGAAGCTGATCATGCAACTGATCCCGCAGCAGCTGCTGGTGAGTTCCCACCCTCTCCCGCCCACCCGCCCTGGCTGTGAGCACCTGCCCAGCCCTGACCCTGCTGCCCCCATGTCGCCCCCAGACCACCCTGGGCCCCCTGTTCCGCAACTCCCAGCTGGCGCAGTTCCACTTCACCAACAGAGACTGTGACTCCCTCAAGGGGCTCTGCCGGGTCATGGGCAACGGCTTCGTGAGTGGGGCAGGGGTGCTGGGGGGCGGGCAGGGACAGAGGCCCCGGGAACACCGTGGTGACTGAGTACAGTGGTAGGCAGAGCTCTGCTGGGACAGGCAAAGCAGGTGGCAAGGTCCTGGGAGACGTCCAGGGGCATCCCCGTCCCTGTGAACCGGGGTCTCACTGCTTAGAGGGGACTGCAGAGGAACCCAGCTCCCCGGCAGGCCGGGGCGGGCACTGGGCACGGGAGCAAAGGGGGGGCCTGGCCGGCCCTCCGGGGAGCCGGGAGCTTGTTGGGGTCACAGCCCCTGGAAGTGGGGCTGACGGAAAAGAGTTGGAACGGGGAATAGTCGGGTTCCTCATCTGTGATCTCCTGGGGGGAGCCAGGGCGCTTGTGTAAAACCGAGGCAGTAGTCTGAGTGTATTGAGTGCTCAGTAAACTGGAGCTGGTGAGGCTGTTGAATCTGGGTTCAGACACAGCTGGTATGGGCCCGTTTCCAGCAGCTGCCCAAAGGGAGCTGCCTGGAGGGCTCCACTCGGGTCTCTCCAGTCCTCAGTCCCCTTTGGGACAGACCGCCTCCCGGCTGTGGTCTTCAGGGAGCACTGTGCGGTCTTCTTGGGGTTGTGACAGGTGTGGGATCTCTCTCCTGCCTGGTCACCCCTGTGTTCAGCACTGTTTGCTGAGAAAGCGCTTGCTTCACCCCGATAGGGACAGGGACGCTTGTGTGCTTCAGGTTCTCCTGTAGTCCCACCAAGGAGGCAGTAGCTTCTCATGCAACAAGCGTTTATGTAGCACTTGCTGTGTGCACTGTTATGCCATTGTACAGATGGGGAAACTGAGGTGCAGAGGTGACTGGCCTTGGGTCAAAGCTAGAAGGAAGCAGAGCTGGGTCTGCTCGCAGGCTCTGGTCTGGCATCTCCCCCGGGCGTGGTGGCCTCTGTCTGCTGGGCCCGGGCTCCCAGGACAGGGCTGGTCTGGGGTGGGGGACAGGGTGTAGGAGATTGAGCCCTCTCAGGACCCTCCCCCCCCCCCGGGGCCCCTGTCCTGACCCCAGATTCACGGTGAGGGGACACCGAGGTGCAGGTCCACAGGTGCTCAGGACGGCAGCCCCAGGTCACTTGGGTGGTTTCTGTCCCTTGATGCCCTCCCCTCCCGCAGGCGGGCTGCATGCTCTTCCCGCACATCTCTCCGTGCGAGGTGCGCGTGCTCATGCTCCTCTACTCGTCCAAGAAGAAGATCTTCATGGGCCTCATCCCCTATGACCAGAGCGGCTTCGTCAACGCCATCCGGCAGGTCATCACCACCCGGAAACAGGTGTGCCCTGGGGCTGCCGCTCGCAGGGCCTGTGGGGCGCGGGGAGCCGGATGGGCTCGCGGGCACAGCAGTCTGGCAGGGCGGGGCGGGGTGTGTGCATGCGGTGGCTCACACGTCACCAGCGGTTCACAGCGTCCCAGCCGACGGCACGGAGGTAGCGGGGCTAGGCCAGTGCTGGGGCGTCCTCCAGAACTGTGGGCAGCGTCCTGGGGCAGCCTCCAGGTTCCCAGGCTCCTTCCCTGGAGAGCCTGGGCTACGAGCCCACCTGTCTCCTCCCACAGGCAGTGGGACCCGGCGGCGTGGCGGGCCCAGTCCAGATCGTCAACAACAAGTTCCTGGCGTGGAGCGGAGTCATGGAGTGGCAGGAGGTGAGGCCAGGGGACCTTGGGACCAGTGCTTCGTCCCTGACCCAGGGCGCCTCCCACTCCTGACTTCTTCCCCTCTTCCCCCCCAAAAGCCCAGGCCTGAGCCCCACAGCCGGTCTAAGCGGTGGCTGCCCTCGCACATCTACGTGAACCAAGGGGAGATCCTGTGAGTGGCGGGTGGCGGGCAGGGGGCGGGGCTGGCGGACATAGGCGGGGCGACGCGGGAGCCCCGCCTCCTGACCCGCGGGCGCGTCCCCGCAGGAGGACAGAGCAGTGGCCTCGGAAGCTGTACATGCAGCTCATCCCGCAGCAGCTCCTGGTGAGCGGGGAAGGGCGCTGCCTCTACCCCCCGGGGGGGAGGGCGCTGCCTCTACCCCCCGGGGGGGAGGGCGCTGCCTGTTAACGCGCGTAGAGGAGGGTGGGGTGCTGCAGGCCTGGCTTTGACGGGTCACAGCCGGGGCGACGTGCGGGTTCGTGGGGTGGCCGCCGGGTGGGGGCCTCATGGAGACCCCCCCACCCCCCACCCCCGGGCCCCATAGACCACACTGGTGCCGCTCTTCCGGAACTCTCGCCTGGTGCAGTTCCACTTCACCAAGGACCTGGAGACGCTGAAGAGCCTGTGCCGGATCATGGACAACGGCTTTGTGAGTGGGGCGGGGTGCACGCAGGGCTGACGACCCGCAGACAGCGGCTTGGTGCGCAGAAACTGAAAAGAGACGGAGTGAAGGTTCCCCCGAACCGGCCGTGGGAAGCGTGCAGTGCTCTGTGCCTGGACAGGACTTGTCCTGACCCGGGTTCACAGATGGGGAAACTGAGGCTCAGAGGCCATGCTCGCATGTGCTGGGCCTCTGGGGCCTGCTGCGCTGTTGTTGGTTTCCCCCCTGCTGCCAGGTCCTTACCTGCCCCATGTCCTCTCCCTTCCCTGGGACGGGTCGGTCTGCCTTCAGTTTGGGCTCTTAAAGCCCCGGCGCTCATCTGCGCATCTCAATTGACCTCTCTGCTCTGCAGGCCTCAGTCTTCTCGGTCTAGGAAGTGAGGGCGTCTGGCTTCTGGGCTCCTGAAGCCACAGCTGTCCGTGTCCACTTTTGGGTGTTTGCTTTACTGGTCCCAGCTGTCCCCAGCTCAGCTTAGCATTTATTTTAAATCAGCTGAAGGTGTCATAGCTGTGCCTTCATGCTTTTGAGGGACTAGTTGTATATACTTTGTGTTGTAAAGAAGAGTTTAAAAGCAGAGTTCCCTCAGGGAGACCCCGCAGCCTCTCAGCTCTGGTGGGTGCTGGGAGGGCCAGCCCCCGTGGTGGCACATAGCCCTTTCTGGGGGCATGCAGGGCCAGGGAGACAGGGATGGTGACCCTGGGCCTGCAGAGGGCGAGGATCCGGTGAGGGGTTGGGAGGTGCTTGGTGCCTGTGGGTATGAGCCACGTGGTGCCATCACCCGCTGCCTAGCCTCCCTGCCCCCTGCTGCCTGTAGGGTTTCCCGGTTGGAGGTGGCCCTGGGGCCCCGCCGGCTGTCTCCTAGCGCGGGGTGGCTCCTGTGCGGTGCTGTCCGTCACAGCTGTGGCTGGTCCTGGGCGCTTACCCAGCCGGCGTTGGGGTCACAGGATCACTGGAGTGTGCTGGGTGGGCCCTCGGGCAGGCATCTCTGGCTTCTGTCTCGGGTCCCCTCATGGGAGCGGTGACACAGCTGGGGACGGCCCGGAGTACTCCGTGCTCTGGCCTCGGAGCCCGGGCGCTCGGCGGGAGGAGCGCGCGGAGGGCCGGTGTGACCGCTCTGCACCGCCAGGCCGGCTGCGTGCACTTCTCCTACAAGGCCGCCTGCGAGGTCCGCGTCCTCATGCTTCTGTACTCCTCGGAGAAGAAGATCTTCATCGGCCTCATCCCGCACGACCAGGGCAACTTCGTCAACGGCATCCGGCGCGTCATCGCCAACCAGCAGCAGGTGCTGCAGCGGAACCTGGAGCAGGAGCAGCAGCAGCGAGGGGTGAGGGCCCCGCCGCGCCCCTTCTGCCCCTTTGTCCCGCCCCCCACCCTGCGGCTGACTCCTCCCTGCTGTCCTTCCCCACAGATGGGGGGGTAGTGGGCCCCCCCGGGGTCGGGCCTCTCCAGGAGTCACAGACGAGGCCCCTGCGAAGACTGGTGAGTGGCAGCAGGCCGGGGACAGGAGGGCCCCGTGGACACACCTGCGGTTGGGAGGTGGTGTGACCCTGGCGTCCAGGAGACCTGAGAGGGAGAGGCCCGCCCGCCCTCGCTGAGCCCCCGGAGGCTTCCAGCCTGGGGCAGGGCCAGGCCCTTCCTTGGACCCTGGAACCGCAGGGTCTGCCCCCCCGCCCCCCACAGTCCCTCTCTCTCTGCCCCCACCCCCAGGTCAGATGCTTCTGAGCAGGGGCCCCTGGGGACTGCGCCCGCCCCGCGAGATGGAGGACAGTGTCCTGCGATGTCTCCAAGGACAGCCCCCCCTGTACGTTTCCCCAATAAAGTCTTTTAAAAGCCCTCTGGCCACTTGGCTCTGTTTAGACCCCCGGGCTTCGGAGAGGCTGGCCCCTCTCACCTGAGCCGGGAGAGGATGCCACCACGCATGGAGCTGCCCGCTGCTCCAAGTCTTCAGGGTTTTTCCTGCAGCTGCTCCAGGCTGCCCTCCCTGCCCTGTGGCTTCCAAGGACCTCCCTCGGCTGGAAGCAGATACAAGGCAGGGCCAGGCAGGTTCCAGCTGCCACCACCATAAACCTCCGCAGCCCACGAGAGGCAGGGGCTCCCAGGGGGGCAGAGTTCTCAGTAGTGCCTTCCTGGGACCCTGGGCCCAGCGGGTCTGTGCTGCTGGCCTAGCTGGGTGAACCACCCTTCTCCCCAGCAAAATGCTGGCCAAGTGTTAGGGAAAAAAATTAGCATTTATTGTGGCGAGGGCCGGAGGGCGCAGGGTGGCTCAGCCCTCTGAGAACTGGCGGTATAGCCGCTCAAGCTGCGGTGCCACGTGCAGCCGAAACGGGATCTCCAGGACAGCTGCGAAGCCTTCGGCCAGCGTGGGGGCCTCGAACTGCTTCCTGGCGGCAGAGGGTGCGGGCTGGAGGCGAGGCCCAACCTTGGGGCTCAACCCGATGTCCCCCCACCTCACCCTGCGACCCTCACCTGTAGCTGTAAATGACAACGTCAGACACGGGCACATGGGAGGAGTCCGTCATCTCCCGGAACTGCGGGGGCAGAGGTTGGCTGGTGAGGCCAGGGCTGGGCGTGGGGGGTACGGCGTGGGGGGGGGCTCGGGCTGCTTGCTCACCCGGTTGTTGTGGCGCGCCTGCTCCACGGTGGCACTGAAGAGGAAGCAGCGGCACGGCACGCCCGCATCCCGGGCACACTTGATGTACCTGGGGGGGCGAGGAGAGGGCTGGTAAAGGGCCCGGGGCCAGCCTGCAGGGGCCTTCCCTGGGACCCTGGTACCTGGCCCGGCTCTGCACGTCGGGGTTTGTGTTGTCGATCACAACCGGTTTCCTCTGCTTCAGGGCCGCCTCACATGCAGTCACACAGCGCTGCCACGAGCCCAGAGTGTCCTGGAGACCCAGAGAGATCAGGGATGGGGCCTGGGAGACCCAGGGGGACAGGGACCCAGAACTGGCGGGGGGACACAGAGGCAGAGTGATGGAGTCGGGGGAGTCTGAAAGGACAGCGGTCCAGGGAGCAGAGACCAAGAGGACAGTTCCTGTGGGGTCGGGGGGCACTGAAGACCGAGTCCTACCCTGTTCACATGGACGTATCCGGCTGACACGAGATGCTCCCGGAGGAAGGTGGACTTCCCGGCTGCGAAGGGCGCAGGGTTAGTAGGGCTTGAGGAGTCAGAGAGGGGCTGGGGCTTCTGGGGGTCAGGGAGTCTCACCCCCAGGAAATCCCACGGCGATGACCACCTCCGGGTCTGAGCTTAAGAGGGAGCTGGACTCGGGGAGGCAGAGAGGCCCAGAGCAGGTGATGCTCCTCTGGGAGGGCAGACAAGATAAGAGACCACACCCCATCCCTGTGCGCCCCCCATCCTGCCCCCGGCACCGCCCTGCAGGCCTCACCGGGTCAAAGGCTGGGAGCTCGAAGCGGGCCACAGGCCACTTGAGAAAGAACTCCTCTGGTGTGGTGAAGGGCAGGCCCAGGTTCAGGGCGAACTGCGGGCGAGATTGCAAGTCAGCTGGGGTGGGGTGGAGGCAGACTCCTGGAGGTGGGACGAGGTGGGGCACTCACCAGGCGGTCTGCACAGGAAAAGTCTTTCTTCTTGCGCCCAGGGGCCCAGTTGGCTGGGCGTCCCGCTGCATCTGGAACACAGAGCCTGGTCTCCACCAGCATCATTGGGGGCGCCCCCACCCCCCCGCATCAGCACCCAGCACCCACCCACCTCCTCCCCAGCCCCAGGCCCTTACCTCCCACAAAGATGCTGTCCCCGATGGAGATGGGCACGCCTTCGTTGGCCTGGGCAGGGACGGGGACACATGAGAGGCAGTAAGGAACCCATGCCCACATTGGTTGCACTGGGTCCCATCAGGAGGTCTGCTCTGTCTAGCCTCTGAGACCTCAGCCACTTCTCACCCGCTTCGCCGGACCATCCTGGCCACCCGTCTGTTCCACAAGGGGCCGCCAGAGGGCGCCCGTCCCCACCTGGCGCGGCTCCGGACCCCGCGCAGTCTGACCCCCCTCACCCGCTCAGCGGTAGCCACACAGGCCTCCCTGCCCGCGAACACACCCGACTCCACCTCAAGATCCTTGCACTTGCTGTTACTCTGCTCTTTCCTTAGATGACACACGCTCCCTCACTCACCAGCTTTAAACCTTTACTCAATCAATACCCGGCCTTACCCTCACTGTTTACACATCCATCAACACACTTGTCGTCCACGCCCTCCCTAGTCCCGGAGCACCCGGGCGCAGGCAGGTCTGTCTAGTCCACTAATATGTTCAGCTCAAGAAGCTTTGTTCTGAAGAACAAACCCATGGATGAATCCACGAGGAATTTCTCTCTGGACCACTCTGGTTGTCTGAGTTTAAGACCACTTGCCTCACCTACCAATATTAGGACATGATAGCAAAGAAACTGAGGCGGCCAGGCCAGGGAAGGGGGTAGCAGGGAAGGTCATGGCGCAGAGACCTGGAGTGGGCAGCCGGGCAAGGAGCCCGGGGAGTCAGAGGCTCACCTGCTCCTGCAGGTGGTCCCACATGCCGCTCACCGGCTTCCGGTACAAGCCTGCGTGCGTGGCCACCAGCACCTGTGGGTCGGGCGGGAGTCAGACACAGTCCTTGACTCTGCTCAGACACCCAGAGGAGTCCTTCAAGGGCACCTGAGTCCCAAGGACACTACGCCAACACACACCAAGGCGAGCGCCACTTAAAATGCGTCTGTCAGCATAATCACCCTCGGGGCCCCCACCCCGCCTCCAGCTGGCTCGCCATGTCACACCTTCTCCCCGGGTCTCTGTTTCCTCTTCTCCGGCCCACCGCGCTTCTCTGGCCCCTGTCTCAGCCTCTCTGACCCCCACATAGCCCTTCAGCCTCCCATGCAGCCATACCTGAAAGGGGACCCCCAGCTTCTCCACCACAGCCTCCACCTTGGCTTTGAACTCCTCCGCTCTCAGCTTTCCACGCCCGATGCCCATCTGGTTGGTGAAGATCACCAGCTGTGAAGGAGACGAGGTATCACCAGGGCCCCTCCTCATCAGGCCCCGGGCCCACCTTGTGAATCGGCCCCCACGGGGCACACACCTTGTAACCCTCGGCAGCCAGTTCCCGGAGCTTCCGTGGAATCTCTAGGTACAAGATCCTAGGGTGGGCGAGGAAGTGCAAGGTGACCTGGGGCCCGGATGCGCCTCACCACCCCCTCCTCCTGCCTCCAGTCACCTCCAGTCACTGGGGCCAGTGGGAAAGACCTTCCCAGAACGGGTGGTGATGAGGGTCCCGTCCAGATCGAAAGCAGCCACCTGGCGTCACCCAGAAAAGAGGAAGAGCAGCACTGTTACACCTCTGGTCTACCTCGCTCGAAGGCTGATTCGCGTCAATTCTGCAAGCTGGGACTGTGACCGCCCCTTACAGGTGGGGAAACCTAGTCACAGCGGGCCTGCCCATCTTAGGGAAGGACAAGGCCACCACCTGGACAGCAGAGAGTGAAATCTCCTCTATCACCTCCCATTCCTCCCGAGCCCTTCAGTATTTCAATCTTTAAAATGGGTTTCGTATCAGACCCAGCCTCCTTCCATGGCTTCTTTTCACTTCGGAGGGCTAATAACCATGAAAATCCAAACAAGTAAGTTTTGTTTGGGTGTTAACTTGACTGCGCCACGAGCTCCCTCAGTCTTCAGTTTGGGCCTCACCTTGCCCCGGGGCTTCACATCAGGTGCTGTGAACACCAGCAGTTTCTCGAAGGTCTCCCAGCCAGGGGATGACTTCCTCATCCGCTTTTTCTGCTGCTCCACGTTCTCCTCCTCTCCCTCTCGGGTCCCAGGAGGGGTGCCGGGTGGAGTGTCTGGCTGGGATTCTGGAGTGCGGGCTTCTTCCCAGCGCAGGGTCAGCGGGTAGAGGCCATTGACCAAATACAGCGTGTCCCCCACCCCCAGAGAGCCCTTCAAACCCGGTCTCAGCTCCTGGGTCCCAGCAGTTGAGGGGTTAACTCCCAGCTGTAGAGAGAGGCGGTAACTGGAGCTGGCCCCACCCCCGGCAATCTCCTCCAATCAAATAACCCGGGAAAGGACTCGCCCTTCTCCACCAGCTAATCAGACCCTTGAGCCCCGTTGGTGTACCGCCAATCAGGCTCTCGGAAGATTAGCAGCCTCCAGTCTTACCCAATTTAAAAGCGGATGGATGTTTACCCTATTGCAACGGGCCACACCTGTTCCCCTCCCAGAGTCTGGTTTTCCCAATTGGGCCCGTTCCCTGCTGGGTGGCGATTCTCCATATCCTCCATCCCCACCCCCAGGCCCGCTGCCTCTTGTTAAGGAATCGGTACCTGTTTCACTGCCACCGTCCGAGTCTCAGGGTCAGCGACCAGCTCCACTGAAGATTGAAGGGGTGGAGTCAGGATCTGAATCCTTGAGTGACTGCTTGCCTCCTTACTGGGGAGCACGCCCCGCTTCAAACCACAGGATGGGGCCATAGCACCCATTATTCGGCAGGAGGAAGCAGTTTATTTTCTAAGTAGGATTAGCTCGCTCCTTGACATGCAGTAGCCAGATAAAGGCCTTACAATTACATAGGTCACTAGTTCTCGCCTAGTGACACGGCAGGTATTTTTCTGTGTGGACATGGCTTCTCGACAATGCAGGACTTTGACAAGGTGCAGATTCCGGGCTTGGCCCGCTACCACCCATCTCTGCTTAGCAATATGCACTTTTCTGCACAGAACCGGCTCTCTGCTTAACAAGGGTCGTGGCCTCATTCAAGTCTTCGCGGTAGCTTGTGAGTATCCTTCTCTGCCCAGTGACAAGTGTCTCGGGATGGACTCCATCCGCTCCCGTCCAAGGTGTCTGGCTAAATCCAGGTCAGGCATACCCTTTTTCTTTCTGTGCTCTCCACAGGGGGCACCTACCAACTTCGGGACTGGCCGCACCACGCAGTTCCGCATGGTGGCCAAGCATATCCCCTCTTGTCTATCTTTCCAATTGCCTGTGTTCCCGCTCGTTAAGCACGCCACACCACCCGGTCCAGCTCAGGCCCCGCCCCGCCTACCCTGGTTTCGGGAGCACTTCCGGTCGGTAACCTGCGTCAAGGGTCCCCGGCCCAGAATCAGAGCTTGCCCGTCAATGGGCAGGAGGATGGGAGGAGCTCCCCCAGCGGGGCTCTCCAGCCACAGGCGACCCTGGGCCTCCAGCCTGGCCATTCTGGGAGTCGGCCTAAGGGGAAGTAGAGAAACAGGTTTGAGTGGCAGCCCGCAGTTGTTACAGGAAGTCCCGCCTCCTCCCGCCCTCTCCACTAGGAATTCCCTTCTTCCGCTAAAGGTTCCGGAAGCCCCACCCACTCGTCGGCCTGGGAATAGCTCGGTTTCCCAGGCGACGACGCCCCACTCTACCTCCTGGAGCTTGGATCCCAGCTTTCCAGGGCAAAGGCCGAAAAACTCGTGCTCTCGCCTCGGCCCCACGCTCACCCCTGCCACCGCCTGGCTCATTCACCACTTCCGACCGGGGAGCTCTTGCCGGAGGCGCTGTGCCGGCGACTCGGCTGGCTGCTGTCTCTCCGCCCACGGAAATGACTCTTCCTACCGAAGGGGGCGGGGCATTGGCGACGCTGCGGCGTAAGCCCCGCCCCCTCAGGCCCAGGGACCCTACGGTCCCTCTGCAGCTCTGACCTTCATCTCCCCTGCTGCAGTATGAGACTCAGGCCAGTAAGGGGTAGTGGATTCCATGCTCACAGATTTTCCTCTTTCCGCGTTGAAGTCTCATTTCTTTCGCCGGAGATAGTTACAGCAGGAGGAATTTCTCTTTAAGGTTATTGTCAGTTGACGAAACCTTGCCGGGACAGCAGCCCTACCCTGCAATGCTGCAATTTTCTCATCTACAGTGTGAGGATAATCGTTTCCACTTTGTGGGGTTACAAGGAAGACTGAGTTAGTACATGTAAATAATTTGTAAAGGCGTCTAGGTAATAGTTTACCCTGTTGAAGTCTTGTTTGTTGTTAGCATTCCATCGCTGGTGATCTGATGAGAGAAGGGGATCCCGCGTCTGCATCCTCAGACCAGAAGCCATTTGTTCTTTTACCTCCATCTGTCTTACATTAGTCCAAAACCTCCCGGCCTCAGCTGGGGGTTCCTGGCTTTTCCTGGGCACTATGTGGGCTCAGGAGACCGACTCAAAACTATTCTCATTCCGAAACTTACAGCCCTGAAGATCGGGATTCCACGATCACACAGGAATGGAATCCTTTCTTCCACCCTGTGTATCTACCTTTTCTTGTTTGTAAAGTGGGGACGAATCCAATTCCCAACTTTGCATTGAGAAGCAATGATACCTGCTCATTTGGCTTCGAAAAATGTTGAATGAATACCCAGAACACACTTCATATTCATTTGTCAGAGGTAAAACTCTTTAATCTCAGAGCGCCCCTCCCAACTCCCGATCCCCACCCCCGACTCTCTCCCCCAAACCAGGGCCGGAGAGTGAGGCCCCCTGCCCCCCACCTTGGGTGGACGAGGGCCCTTTAAGGCACCTGTGGGGGTGGGGGGAGAGGGGCGGGAGCTGGTAACGTCCTGGATGCAAGGACGGGTTTGATTGGCAGGCAGTTGTGGGATGTAACCAATGAGGGGGTGTCAGACGCAAGAACCGGATCAGGCCATCCCTGAGGGGGCCAGAGGGACAATTGTCTGGACTTCGGAGAAAATCAACCCCAGCCCCAGTAGTGTAAAGAACGTAAATGTAACGCCACAGGCTAATCCTGGGTACAGGAGGAGTTGGCTACGCCCCCAGGAAGCTAGAGCCAATCAAATGGGGGAACTCAAGAAAGGTGGATGAGTCTCTCCGGAGATTGGTCAAGCCCTTTACAGTGTTCAAGTCAATCAAATGAAGGAGCTGTCCATTCGCTATGCTGAAGTGGAGAACGATTACCCAATTCTGGAGCTTGACTCTTTCGGGAATGGAGCCAACGCCTTGCGAATTAGCCACGCCCCGGTCGCGGAGCGAGCCAATTCCTTACTAGAAAGAAATCTGTCGCTGGGCAGAGAGCAGACAGACCCAATCCGGAAATTGGATAGGCCCTGCTCGGCGGCGCGGCAGTTGTCGTGGGCTGGAAGGGTGGCGGGAATCTGCAGGGACTGGTCAATCCTGGTGGCCCGGGGCGTAGGAGGCCGGTCCCGGATCTGACTCGGATTGGCGGGCCCCGGGGGCGGGGCAGGGGTGTAGTGTAGGGGTGGGACGGACGCCGGGCCGGGAAGCTCCTTGGGCCTCAATATTTCTGCTTCAGCTTCTGGAAGTCGCTGGTGTTGAGCCGTGGCCGCGGCAGGTCCCCGAAGACCTGAGTGTCCTCGGCCTCCCGCAGCACCAGTGCGCGCATGCTCGCCGCGATACGGTCCAGGTCCGGCGAGGAGGGCTGCGGGAACGGCGACATGGACGGGATCAGAGCCTGCGCCCCAGGGCTCCAGGTCCTCTCCCAGCACTTTGCCCCTGCGACGCCTACGGCCTGGCAGGCCCTTCATCCTGTCCTGCTCCATTAGGGCTCTGCTACCCAACTCAAGGCACCACGTCCTCCAGGAAGCCTTCCTGCCCCTCTCCTCCCCGCATTCTCAGCCTGGTCCTCTGTGCACGCACAGCAACCTGTCTCACCGCGGTCCTTCCAGAGTGGAAGTGCTGCCTGGGTGCTGACCATCGAGGCTGTGTGCACCCAGAGTCTCACGTCTGAGGACCGGGTTTGGGACTCAGTCATGTTCTAATCAGGCTTCTGCCAGCCACTAGCTGTCAACAGGGATTTTATCTCCCTAGGTTTCTGTCTCCCCTCTGAAAAATGGGGCAGATAGCAGGGCGTGGGCTAATCACCACAGTGATTGCTAAAGAGAGCTGAACATCCAAGTCGCCAGGGCTGTAGAGCAAGGAGCCCCTCCCTGTCGGTCTCCACCAGGGAGGGGTCCTCACTCTACCTGCAGCCCCAGCACCCAGTGCTACCTCCCTTAGGGACCCCGTCACCCTCGGCTGGGCCTGACGCCCAGCAGAATGAGAGAGGCCACAGACAGAAGCCGGACTCAGGCCCTCTCGGAGGCCAGCCGAGGACCCAGCACTCAGGCCTCAGAGGTTCAGTTAATTATGTTTCCACCACCAAACAAGGATGGCAGCAGCCAGTGAACCCCGCCAGTCTGTAAAGGAGGACGCTGAGTGTCACAGGGAGGGGGAACCACAGGACCCAAGGCCTCCTCCCTCCAGAGCTGTTTTCCAAAAGGAAGCAGGGTTCCAATTCCAGCTGAGTCTCAGGAAGTCACATGTACCCTCAGTGCCTCAGTTTCCCTTCTGCTTCAGAGCTTTAGTGATGGGTAATGAGGACCCACCCAGGCCAGCCCAGGAACTTGTGTAGGATGGTGTGGGAGGAACGGACGACAAGGGAGGGGGGCACAGATTCCAAGAGGGGCCAGGAATATGAGGGGTGGGGGCAGAAAGCAATCTGACCCCGCTGAGCCTCAGTTTCCCCATTTGGAGGGGGCACCAAAACGCCTGCGCCCTGCCCAGATCAGGTATTCTGCTCACAGAGCTGTTCGTGGAAAGGAGAGGCCGCTCTCCCTCTACAAGGCTGCTGCTGCTGCTGCTAAGTCCCGTCAGTCGTGTCCAACTCTGTGCGACCCCACAGAGGCTACGATGTAGTTAAAAAACTGCAGGGCTCTGGCCCGAGAACCAGCCTTGCGAGGAGGAGGAGCAGATCAGTCCTGGGAAACGTGGCATCCATGTGTGAGGGCTTCCTGGAGGAGATGCCTCTGAGCCCTTCCCCACGCCCTCCTCCCTGCCTCCCCCACGTGCCCCTCACCGGCCCGTTCTCCTCATCGGACGAGCGAGCTTCCGTCCTCTTCTCCTTGAAGGCCCAGACGGGCACGGACACAGGCAGGGACTTGGCATACTGCTGTGCCGGCAGGGCTGAGGCTGGGGGCACCGCGTAGGCGGGGGGGCCAGCGGGAGTCTCCTCGCTCAGGCTGCCATCTGGGAGAGAGTGCGGACTCCAGCCTCCATCCCTGCCTTGAGCCCAGCTCCCCTCACCCCCACTCCGGGGACGGGGCCAGCCTGCAACACTCACCATCCGTGCTCTCTGGGTCTGACTCACAGAAGGGGGGAAGGGCCTGCGGCGTGGTGTCCTCGTCCATCACAAACAGTCCTGCGGGTGGCGTCGGAGACCCGGCCGCTTGGTGCCCGCTGCGCTCTGAGCGCTCTGGGCTGCGGCCACCGCCTCCGCCTCCCTGTCCCCTGCACTGGCCAGGCCCCTGCAAGCCTCGGGCCTTGCACACCTTTCCCCTGGTTATTAGGCTGGCCTTCGGCAGAAATAAATCTCGTTTCTATCTATCTGGCATCTCCCTGGGTGAAAACAACTGGTTGGATGAACACAAAATCTGTAAGATTCATTTGGGATGAACTGACTCAAAATACAGGCTGAGAGAAAGACGAGATGCTTATGATCCCTGTTTGACAACCAGGACCCAATGGTGCAGAGAGATTAACTTACTTCCCCTTAGTCTCACCGCTAATAAGGATCTGAACCTAGGTCACCTGGCTTCACAGTCTGAGCCCCAACACCATGGGTTTGTCCAGCAACAGTCAGAAAGTCAGCCACTGATAGTAACAGTAACAAGTGAGTAACTCCTGAGTTGAGCCCTCCACCCACCCACCACTGGAGAACTCCTACTCACTCTTCAAAACCCTAATGTTACAGTCCAGTCTCTGGGAAGCATCCAAGCTCTTGTTTCCCCCACTGCAGCCAGTTGCTCCCTCCGCTGTTGCTTGTACCCCCGACCCTCTTTAACTTCTGTGTCTGCTCTCACAGGCATCAGGCACCCCAAGTTTACAAACCAGTCCTGTCCTACTCATGCTCCCGGCTCAGAAGCTTCCCTCCCCGCCCGCCCCCCGTCCTCTACAGGGCACTGCTTCATGTCAGGACTCTCAATTCCTTGGCCAGACCCGCAGTACCTAGAGAAAAGGCCCGGAGTGGGCTTTCTCTGTGCCCAGCACCTCCCAGCAGAGCTGGTCCCAGGAAACGATGAAAGGAAACCGAGGCTCAGGGAGGAGAAACGACTCGCTCAAGGTCACAGAGTGAGTCACAGGCCAGCCCACAAGACAAGCAAGCCGCACCCCTCTGGGAAAGCCCACCAAGGAGGCGACTGACCAAGAGCCGCCCAGCCCCTGCCGCCTCACCTCCATTATCGCTGATGCCCTGTCGCTCCCCAGAGGTCTCCGTCTCTGTGGGTTCATCCTCGTCCTCGTCATCTTCCTCTCTGGCAAGGGCAGGCCGGGGTGGGCTTCGTGCGGGGCTGGGCGGCTGCGGTGCTGGCGGGGGCACAGGGGGGCGGGCCGCGGCGGCCGCCCGGTGGGCCAGAGCGATGTCGTGGAGGCAGCGGCGAGCGGCCTCGGCCAAGGCCCCTCGGCCGTGGGCCGCGTAGGCACAGGGGCCCGGGCGGGGTGGCGGGGGTGGCGCGGCCGTCAGCAGCACCAGCTCCGTGCCCGTCCGGGCCCGGAAGCGCTCGGCGGCCCCCACCACGGCCTCCCACAGCTCCTCGGGCCGCCCCGACGCCATCCGCGCCCTGCGGGGCAGAGCAGGACAGAGGCGGCTGAGGCCCAGCGGATTTCACTGTCCACCCAGCCTCACATGTTCACCAGGCCCTGGACTCCACGCCCAGCCCTGCTCGCCACCTGATCCCAGCTGAGCTCATCTCCCCACCAACCGACCCCCGCCCTCTGTTTCTGCAGGACTCCGCTCCATCCAGACCTCCAGGCCCTGTCCTGGGCCCACTGCCCCATCCTCACCCTGTCCCCTCAGCCCCCGACTCTCCTCTTAGCCCTGCCCTGGCCAGTATAGGAGCCATCAGCCACACGTGACTAGGGAGCACTTGAGATGTAACTGAACCAAAATGAGACTGTGCCGAGAGGGTGAAATCCACACCGGACTGTCAAGGATTACTTAGCACAAAAAGGTAGGATGCAAAATATCTCATGAGCAATCTAAGCTTGATTAAATGTTGAAATGATGACGTTTATTTATGCTGGCTAAATAAAATAAAGAGGGCAAAAGTGAATCTCATCTGTTTTCTACTTTTTTAATGTGGCTCATAGAAAACGTTAAGTTATACACATGGCTCAGATCATACTTCTGATGGACTATGCTGCCCTGCACCATGGTCCCAGCCGAGTCCAGTAGGCACCCAGGCCCCAGGCTGTGTGTGTGTGAGGGGGTTCTTTTACCCCCGGAGCCAACCCTGTACCAGCATCCCTGGACAAGGTCACAGGCCCTCAGCCCAGTGCCGGAAGGCCCGCCCCAGCCTCACATAGTTCTAGACTCCTGAGGCCCAAGGCCTTCAGTCAAGGTGAACCCCCCCGCCCCCCGACCTGGACCACTTGTCTCTGTGTACCTGTCACTCCTGCACCCAGCCTGAGCTCAGGGCATTTCCTCCCCATCCACGGGCTCCCGCAATGTCTGAATGATCCCCACTCTAGCCCAGATCCCTCTGGGAGCACTGCTTGGATGGATCCACATCCATTTCCCCAACCAGTGTGGGAGGCCCTCAAGGGCAGGCCTGTCAGATTCACCTCTGAGACACCAGCCTTGCCTGGCACATGGCAGGTCTCAGAGAGCTGGAGTGGAGCAGAAAATGGGATGCCGGCTGCTTTCTGCACCTGGGCTCTGCCCACAATGTCCTTCCACTTCCAGCAGGTCCTCCCTCAAGATGGATCAGATGCCTCCCCTAGACCCACAATGCCCTTGGCTACCTCCATTACAGCTCTTGTCACACGAGCTTGTGACAGCTGTATCTCTGGCTGCCTCCTCCATCAGACTATGAGCCACCCGAGGTCAGGGATCTGTGTCCCCAGGACAGGCTCACCCTAAGTAGATGACCTGCTTTGATGCATCTCCTTACAAGGGGAGAAGAACAAGGGACCAGGAGCCTGACTTCCCACCCTGACTGCTGTGTGACCTTGGACCACTGAGTGGCCTTCTCTGTGCCTCACTGTCTTCTCCCTGTAAACCAGTGGTTGAGCCAGGGCTGCTGGGCAGCTGAGGAGCCTCCCCAAAGAGGCAGCAGGCTCCTCATCATCGGAGGGATTCGAGCTGGGCTGTGATCTAGCCCTCCAGGGTCGTACAAGTTAGATTTCAATTCACATCCTCTTTGTGACTCAGGATGAGAGAGGCCAGAGTTTGCTGAGCACTTGCTCTGTGCGGGGACTCTGCACCGGTCATGACCCCTCCTACCTACCCACAAAGGTGGGAACTGTTACCTCACAAACAAGACAGTCAAAGCTCACGGAGTACAAAGCCCTTGCTGGCTGCCACATGCAGTGAGAGCGCAACCACTGCCAGTCCTGACAGACCCTGGAGCAAGTTTATACCACACCTCCCAGGCAGGGACCTGAGTGTAATCTAGTCTCATCCCACCCTCTCACCACCCCTATGAGGGCGGAGCTACGATCATCCCACTTTACAACTGCAAACTGAGGCCTGGGGAGACTCATTGACCAGGGTCAATGTCTTGACCGAGACGAGGGCTGGGACCTGAATCAGTCATCCTGGATCCAGAATGTGTTCTTAATCCTAAATGCCACACTGCCTATCTTATGAGGAAAGATTTATGGCTTCCTAGTCCAGAAGGGAAAAGTGAGGCTCAGAAGCTTAAGGCACTGGCCAGAAGGAACACAGCTAGAAAGGGCAGAAGTGAGTTGAAACTGTGGTCTGCTTGACAGACTCCAAAGCCCAACCGAACTGGGAGGTACCCAGGGTCTCACAGCCACTCCTTGGGTTCCACTTGATGGAGAAAACTGAGGCTCAGGGCAGGAGAGTGAGTGGCTCAAGGTTGCACAGCCTGGTAATGCCAGGCCAGGGGGCTCTTCCTTGGGATATCAAGATATGGCTCCTCTCCTAGAGGAGATCTGAGAGCAGATCAAACTCCGAGAGCCTGGGAATACCTGGAAAGAGTCAAGTGGGAGTGAGCGGGTCATGAGAGCCCCACACATACCTCAAAGAGGAGGAGAGCGACTTACGCAGACCTCTCTGCCAAGGCCTGGGGGTCTTGGGGGCAGGGGGGTGTCTCTGGCATTGGTTACCTAAAAGGAGAGTAGCCAAGCCAAGTACCCCCCCCCCCAGGAGAGTCTCCCACCCTTTCAGGTTCCAGAAGAAGTCCTGTTATCCTCCACGGAGCTGATAGATGGAAGACCCCCTCTCCCGCCAAATAGAGGTATTTACGATTAGGGAAGAGTCAGACACGATTGAGTGACTGAACTGAACTGAAGATTAAGGAAAGAGGGAGGTGAGACATGTCCCCCACAGGAGGAAGGGACAAGTAAGGCAACTGACTTTTTAGAATGAGGTGGGGAGTGAGGTTAGGAAAGCGACTCCAGGAAGAGATGAAGAAAGAGGAAAAGTCCCCCAAGGAATAAGGGATGCTAGCATGCCAGGGAAGTCCCCCCAACCACCTGTCAAACTGGAATTAAACCCCTTCCCCGCCCCAAGGTGGGAGGAACTCGGGGATACACCCTGTGGCCGGGGGCAGGTGAATATCTGGGGTCTTTCTCTACCGCTCACAGAACTCGCTACTTGGTCCGGGGGCTCAGGTAAAGACCCACTTCGCTAGGAAGCACACAGGAAATTCCGCCCAGGTGGGGGCCAGGACCGGAAGTCCCGCCTTTGGACGGGTGAGGGGCGCCCCGCGGCCTCACCGAGTAACCCCCCGACCCTGTGGACATGGTCCACGCCTAAGTCAAAAATCCTAGTGGGTCTGGAGACCGGAGAATAAGGCTGTCCAAGCTTTGCCTAGACTCAGACACGACGGTTCCCGCGGCCGACACCTTTCCAGCGCTCAGCGTGAGGTCACTGAGCGATCTCTGCCCTCTGATCAACGCAGGCTATACCCTTCCCACGAGCGGCTCGCCCACCCAGAGCCCCTCTCCTCCGGACGGCCAAATCCTCCCCACACCGCGCTTCACAACGCCGCCTCCACTCACGTGCCCGTAGCCAGCATGGCCGGCCCGGCACCGTCACCGCCCTCAAAAGACATGGCGGTGCCTTACGTCACTTCCGCATCTTTGGCCCGCCTCCACTTTGCACACTCCGCCTCCCTAACCCCAGACGCCGGAGACCAACATGGCGGCAAAAGTGCTTCGCCGGATCCCAGTGGAGCATTGGAGACGGCAGGGTATCCATAAGAAAGATGGTGAAAGAAAGGCTTCAACTTTCTTAGACACAAACCCAGATTTCGACTTGTCGCCCCAAAATATGGGGAAATTGCTACATGCACACTCAGGACTACAGTATACTAACTCAAGCGAGCTAACGTCCCTCATACACTAATAACCTCTTCCACAGATCTAGTGGAAAGCAGTGTCCATTAATGACGTGGCAACCAGCCAGACATCATTTGTCCATAACATATACAAAGGCTCCCCAGCCTATCCCCTTTCAGCATCAAGACTGGCAAAGAGCCGACATGGCAGCCTCTCTTGCTTCAGTTTGCCCAGTTTCAATATGGCGGCTCAGACCGCTTTCGACGGTGACTTAGGAATTCGTCTGGGACAGCTTCGTTCCCGGGGAAACTGACGGTTTCATCCCTTTAACCCGAGTCCTTCAGGGCCTCTTGTGATGCACAGCTCCTCTCACCTTTTCTTTTATCCGTTTCTTCCAGGACCCTGCTTTCGCGCCCCGCAGAGAGATGGGACTGCCCCGCATTAACATGGCCTTAGCTCGCCGGCCTTGGCCGTGCCCTCGAGCAAAATGGCATCCTTTTGGCTTCGATGCCAGCATGCAATATGGAGGAAGGACTAGGCCTCTCGGAGCCAGCTTGATCGAGGTGGGTGGAGCTCTTGGATCCGCCCCCTTGTTTACTTCGTGGTTAAGAATGTACTACTGCGCCTGCGCACTGGCCGCTGCGCCTCTAGCGTCTGCGGCATGTGACTCAAAACCTCGTGGTTCATGCTCAACCACCCCATTCTGGAAAATGGTTACACCCACTCCTGTTCTAGAACAGATAGGGACGCTACCACTGTCTGGGCTTGCAGGGAGTGTCCAATCCGGATGTGACAGCACGCTGACCCGGAAAAGGAGGGGGCCGGGGCAGTGGGGCCTCCGCCGCGGCTATGGAGGGAGCCGGTTACAGGGTAAGTACTAGAGACGCATTCTTTCTCATCTGTCGATGCGAAACTTCCCCCTCCGGTGACCTACTTCTTTCTCAGGCCTTGCAGGGATTCTCGGAGCCCGGCACATCCTTAACAAGCACACCATTCCCTTAATAAACGCGCTGTCACTCCTTCCTTCCACTTCCTAGGGAGACTCATATCATTTAGCTCCGCCCCTTGGGCTGCTGAGGCGCTCTTCTGGGCCCTGCCCTCTTTGGAATGCACTTTTGCCCTTCCCCGTCTTCTAGGGTCCCAGAGAAGCCTGGTCGGTATTCAGGCTTCATCTCGCCGACCCCATCCCCTAGGTAAAGGTATCTCGGGGTCCCGCCCCCTGGTGCATAGCTTCTCCCCTCAGTCTGTTCCCATTGGCTCTCTTTGGGGCCCCTCCCCCTTTGGGCCCCGCCCCTTAATGGTACCTGTTTCCAGGTGGTGTTTGAGAAAGGAGGCGTGTACCTGCACACCAGTGCCAAGAAGCACCAAGACCCGGACTCCCTCATCGCCGGCGTCATCCGTGTTGTGGAGAAGGTGGGCCGGGAGAGAGCAGGGCTCGGGCAGGCCCAGAGCGGGATGGAGGGCGGCACCTGTAGGAGTACAGTGTGGAGGTCAGTTATGGGATCTTAGGAAGGAGAGGTGGCTTTCTAAGGCTGAGAGTTCAGAACTGGGAAGAAGTTTGGAAATAGTGTTTGGGGAGTTTGGAGGGTAGCCTCTCCAACCCCTCTTTCCTTCCCACAGGACAATGATGTCCTCCTGCACTGGGCTCCTATAGAGGAGGCTGGAGATTCCTCCCAAATCTTCTTCTCCAAGAAGGTAGGCTTCCCTGGCTTCCTCTTCTCCACTTGCTTTTTTCTAGGATGGAGCAGTCGAAAGCATTTGAAGGACTTGGGTAGAATCCCAGACCTACCACTGGGGAATGTATAAGCCTGGTTGGGACTTAAGTCCTGTCTGCCCCCCGGTTTCCTCTTCTCTGTGAAATGAGGCTGAAGAGGCCCATTCATGGAGAGAGAGCAGACACCATGCGACTTGTGGCCGTGGAGACGGCACCTACCGCCTCGCCCCCTTTGCTGCTTGGGACAGCCCTGTCCCGGTGCAAGAGGATAACTCAGTCTGTGGATTCAGGTCCTGGGGCTCTCAGCCCATAAGGACTTTGAGCATGGAAAAAGGAAAAGGGGGGCCAGCAGGGTACCAGTCACATCTATCCTTCTCATCAGGAAAAGCAAGAGATTTCCCAGAAGCCTCCTGTATTGGTTAGGAGTTGCATTTGGGTGTTCATAAATGAAACAGGAATGCCAATGGCCTAGGGAAGATATCAGCTCATTTCTCTTTTTCTTCCAAGCCCAGAATGCAGCAGTATAGGTTCATATGGTATCAGTGACTCAGCTTCCTTCCATCTTTGCTTCGTAGTCCTCCACACATGGCATCTATCCTCAACATATCTTTGTGGTCCAAAAAGGCTGCTGGAACTCCAGCCTTTTTAACTGTTTTTGTTCACTTTCCATGTGTATCTCAGGTGGGCAAAAAGAGTTCTACTCATCATGATTACTCAAGGAAACATGCTGCTAGAGCAGCCACCATCCCAAAAGTCTCCATTCCTAGTGGTAGAAAGAAGTCTCTAGAAGTCTTGTCCTGGCAGTTAAATGGTCTGTCTTGGAAATGATACATCCAGCCCTTTGGCCAGAACTAGGTGCCTGTCTCTGCTCAGCCAGTAGAGTTCAGTGAGCTATAATCCATCCTAATGTATGCCCATGAGATGGACAGCTGCAAGCGTTTGACAGCACTACTAATTATCACTGTTCTGTGTAAACGTTGGCAAAAGTATAAAATTCTTCAGGTCACAAAACAGAGGGCAGAAACTAACCCGGGGGCTAGTTTGGCAGTTTGTGGGCAGCTGTCTGTGCTGTCCCTCAGCCCTTCCCAGAGGCTTGCCTGAATAGGATGTTCACTCCTGTCGGTGCCTTTTAATCAAGAATTTCCTGAGCTGGGTGACCCTGAGGGCAAGTGCGGTGCCCTCTTTCTGCCTCAGTTTCTTTTTGTTCAGTGGGGCTACCTTCCAGGGTGGCCTCGAGGCTCAGATCTGGAATCCATGACCCCTTAGTCTCTTTCCCTGCCTTCCCCCAAGGACACCAGTGGGGGTGACTCCTGCACCTCTGAGGAGGAACCGACCTTTGATCCCGGCTATGAACCCGACTGGGCTGTCATCAGCACCGTGCAGCCACGGCCCCGCCATTCAGAGCCCACGAGAGGTAGACTAAGGTGGTGCCTGGGCTTGGGAGTGGGTGGGCAGGTAGAGAGACATGGCTTGTCCTCAGTGGTCATGGCTCCACGGGCTTTGCTGCCCGGTCAAGATGGCCACCCACACTGGCCTCCAGTCCCCGAAGAGTGGGTGGGGGTGCAGGGTGGTCGCCAGCCCACGTCCAGCATGGCCAGCGTCTCCAGGGTATGCAGTCTGGTCGACCCCTACCCCAGGCTCCCTGATTGTGGGCACCCCCATGTAAGTCCTGCCCCTGGAGTCTTCTAGGCTGTGGGGCAATAGTCGCAGGGGAACAGGGCAATTCAGGCCATCCTGGAGTCACACGGTGGGGCTGGGGGCACCAGAGGAGGTATTTAACCTCCAGGAGATGGAGAAGCTTTCCAGGAAGAGGTGGTGCCAGAGCCCGGCTCTGGGGGGCACGTGAGTAGTTTCTCTCCCCGCAGGCAGGGCAGCCAGGGCAAGGCCAGAGGTGTGGGGCGCTGGGAGACTGCAGCCTTTTGCTGTGGCTCGAGTGTGGGGTCCAGAGAGAAGAGAGGGTGGGAGGTGAGACAGACGGGGTGCAGGGAGCAGACTGGAGGGGTTGAGGGGAGCCTGGGGAGATTTTGGAGCAGGCACATGTCTGCTCCGGGCTCCCCTTGTTTTCCTCAGTCCTTTCCTGGAGGGCCTGGGCTGACTGGGAGGGGGATGGAGTCGGGGGAGGCGCCTCAGGAGATGCCTGAGCCCCTCCTTCTCCCCGTCTCCCCCAGGTGCGGAGCCCAGCTCCCCTCGGGGCTCCTGGGCCTTCTCGGTGAGTCTAGGGGAGCTCAGGTCCATCCGCCGTTCCAAGCCGGGCCTTAGCTGGGCGTACCTGGTGCTGGTCACGCAGGCCGGCGGCTCCCTGCCTGCCCTGCACTTCCACCGCGGGGGCACCCGCGCCCTGCTCCGCGTCCTCAGCCGCTACCTGCTCCTGGCCAGGTAAGCCTGCTCCCGGGCCGCAGCCTGACCCCTCAGAACTGGGAAGGAAATACAACCCAGACCGATTTTCAGGGCAGAAAAAGAGAAGCAAGTGGTGTGGCGCGTATAACACGGGGATAAAGGGTAGTTTGGCATCAGACAGGACCTGGGCCCCAGATCATGGAAAGAGTTGGTCTCCTTTCTCTCTGAGTTTGTATCACCTTCTGGGGGGCCCGGGGGGCAGAAAGCACCTCTAGCCCACACCCCAGCAGTTTCCTGGGGGCTGTCCCTCCACGGCCTGTGCCCGAGTCGGTCACCCTGGCTGGGTGGTGAGAGAGCCTCGTTGGCCAGCCCTGGGCCCCGGGCCGCCCCTGGGGTGCAGTCGTGGTTTCAGGCCTGGGCTGGAGATTCCCACGGGCAGTCAGGACGCTGGCTGGGGGTCGCCCACACGCCCCCCGCCCCCCAGCTCCCCGCAGGACTCCCGCCTCTACCTCGTGTTCCCCCACGACTCGTCAGCACTTTCCAGCTCCTTCCACCACCTCCAGCTCTTCGACCAGGACAGCTCCAACGTGGTGTCTGTGAGTCCGCGGGGCCAAGCCGGCAGGCGGGGGTAGTGCGGGGCGGACCGTGCTCGTGGCTGGGCTGTGACCACCCCTCCACCCCGTCCCCAGCGCTTCCTCCAGGACCCCTACTCCACCACCTTCAGCAGCTTCTCCCGTGTGACCAACTTCTTCCGGGGAGCCCTGCAGCCTCACCTGGAGGGGGCCTCCCCTGACCTGCCCCCGGCCCCGGATGACGAGCCTGAGCCTGGGTTCGAGGTCATCTCCTGTGTGAGTGTCAGCGTGGATGCCGCTGCTCTCGCAGCCACCTTGGGCACGGGGCCGCGTTGCCCCAGGCTCACATCCTAACAGCACCGCCCTCACTGGGCTGCTTGACGGACTGTGCGGAAGGTGCTTGTAGCCTGTGCACTTCGTGCCTGTTCTTAATGGGCGGGGTAACCTTGTCACTGAGCCACGAAAGAAGATGCTTCCAGCCCTACATGTTCTATTTGTCCGTCCAGCTAAGAAAGGCTGTGAGATGCCTTGGAGGGGGCTGGGGGCAGGGCCGGGGGCTGCCAGGCACCTGAGGCCCTGGGCTCACCCGCCTCGCCTCGTATCCCCCAGGTGGAGCTGGGGCCGCGGCCGGCCGTGGAGCGGGCGCCTCCCGTCACAGAGGAGGAGTGGACTGGCCACGTAGGCCCCGAGGGCCGCCTGCAGCGGGTCCCAGAGCTGAAAGCCCGCATCTTCTCAGGGGTGAGGAGGCGGGGGGGGGGGGGGGGCAGGGCAGGGCAGCGGGCAGCCAAGGGGAGGCCCCTCTGAGCTGCCCTCCACCTCTGCCCACCAGGGTCTGAGCCCCAGCCTGCGGCGCGAGGCCTGGAAGTTCCTCCTGGGGTACCTGAGCTGGGAGGGCTCGACGGAGGAGCACAAGGCCCATGTGCGCAAGAAAACGTGAGTGAGAAGGTGTGGCCCCCGCCCTGCGGGGCTCAGCCCTTGCTGCCCCAGCCGCCCGAGTCCACTGGAGGCTTTTAATCAACAGCATATCCCTTGATCACAGGGATCAGGGACATCAGCCCGCGCACAGGGGGATGGAGGCAGTGGGCCCATGTCTGATGCTGTTTTCATCCCCGGGCCATGTGATATCACGGATGCGCAGCAGGCTTCCTCCCTGCTGTGTGGCCACCTCTCCTGGCTTATCTTGTGCCTCTGTTGTGTATCCTGGTATATCCTGGCCCCTGCCCCTGGGGCTGTCTGTCCACTGGGGCTGACAGACTGTGAGCAAAAGCCCACAAGGGTGTCCTGTATCCCAAGAGACGTCGCGGAGGGGAAGCGTGGCGGTGAGCTGGGCTGAGCCCCATGGGGCGAGGCAGCAGGGTGTCCTTACTGCTCCCCTCTCCCCCTCAGGGACGAGTACTTCCGCATGAAGCTGCAGTGGAAATCTGTGAGCCCTGAGCAGGAGCGGAGGAACTCACTGCTACATGGATACCGCAGCCTCATCGGTGGGTGGGGGTGGGGATGGGGGTGCCAGGCCAGAAATGAGATCCTCTAGGGGTGAAGGGGAGCAAGATGGGGGCGAGCAGGGGTGAGTGGCCAGGATGGTGAGGCAAGGCGTGGGGGGTGCTCCAGGCTCCCTGGGTTGAAATCTGCCCTCTATTCACTGAGATATCTTGTCAAGCGATGTGATCTCCCTGGGCTGCTGTGTCCCCACTTGTCGCTGGTTTGGTGACTGTCTGCGGCTGGGAGGGCGTGGCCAGCCCGTGAGTGTGAAGCGCAGCACCTCCCGTGGAAGCGGCCCAGCAGTCTCTGGAGGGCCCACAGCTGCCTAGACATGCTGGCGGCTGGCAGGGACGGGACCCTGGTCCTTTCACACCTTCACTTTGTCCCCTGTCCCCGCAGAGCGGGACGTGAGCCGCACCGATAGGACCAACAAGTTCTACGAGGGCCCCGAGAACCCGGGGCTGGGCCTGCTGAACGACATCCTCCTGACCTACTGCATGTACCACTTCGATCTCGGTGTGTGGCAGTCCGGGGAGGGGCTGGGGGCCGGCCCTCCAGGGGCCCAGGGGGCACTGCTGGCCTGGGCTGGGCCCTGACCCCGTGTCCCCCCAGGCTACGTCCAGGGCATGAGTGACCTTCTCTCCCCGATCCTCTACGTCATCCAGAACGAGGTGGACGCCTTCTGGTGTTTCTGCGGTTTCATGGAGCGTGTGGTGAGGCTTAGGGCGGGGGTGGGAGGCAGGGCCCCTCACAGGCCCTGGGGGCTCTGGCTCCTCACGAGGCCGTCTGCCCACAGCACGGGAACTTCGAGGAGAGTCAGGAGACCATGAAGCGGCAGCTCGGGCAACTCCTGCTGCTCCTCAGGGTGCTGGACCCGCCACTCTGCGACTTCCTGGGTACGTGTGGCGGGTGGGGCCAGGGACGGTAGGGCCAGAGATGACATCCAAACGTGTGGATGTGTGGATGTGGTCCAAATGAGAAACAACCCCCCAGAACCCAGAAGTGATGTGTAAAAGCAGGACTGCAGTTTGGAGCAAAACCTCAATAAATGCAGAGGTGGGCACCCCCATCCCCGCTGCACAGTCAGGTGGCTCCTTTGTGCCCGTCAGTCACACTTCTCAGAGGAGGACCTGGCTGTGGTTCCTCGCAACTCCCAGCTGCACCTAGCTCTTATCTCCACTCACTCCTGAGCCAGGCATTGGAAACTGGTTCTTTGGGCTCTTGGGGGTGGGACAGCTACATTTTGGCTGTAAAATTTGACTGCATTACTTGTTCAATGTAAAAAATGCAGGAAATTCAGGGAAAGGAAGTTGAAATTGCTGTTGCTAGAACTGTTCTTTTGAATGCAGATAATGATAAATAAGCTAGTTGATTGGTGGACATTTCTTCACAGAAATTCAGGGTCACACTGGGAAGGAGAGATGTAGCTGGTCTCACTTCACTGAAGAGAAAAAAAACTAAGGCTTAGCACATGCCACTTTCAAGGACACTTGGATGTTAGCTGCCTCTCTGTGTCACTTGGAACTTTTCTAAACCGTCAGTTTTTATCGACTACATGGTGTTTTGTTCAGTTTAAGGATGTACAAGAGTAGATTTAGCCTGACCTGCTGGACATTTAGGTGGTTTGTAGTTTTTCACCATGATAAATCTGTATTTGTGGATAATGTCTTTAAATTCCAAGAAATGATTTATATCCGCACATATCTGTACATTTTTTGAAACATTCGTCCCCATCACTGCTTTCCTGGAAAGCTCTGCCAACTTACGTTTTTGCTAGCAGTGTACACCAGGGCCCGGTTCCTCACATCCCTCCCCACCAGCTTTGGGTGTTGACCAGATTGTTGTTCTTCCTCTGAGTGGACTAGTTTTACTGCCTCCCTCCCTCATGAGAGTAGAGACCAGGGGTGGCTCCTCGAGTCTGGAGCCTGGAAGGCAGGATGGGGAAGGCTCCCGCTGACCTGGGCAGCTCCCTCCACCTCCTTCCCAACCCCACCCTCCACCCCCACGAGCTCTCCATCCACTTGCGAGCCTGGTGCGGGTCCTTCATCAGCGTGACTTCTTAGAGTCCAGTCCGAACGTCGGGTGCCCTGTGAATTAGAGCCGGGTTGGGGTTGATAGAGAGCATTGCCCCTCCCACCCCTGTCCCCTGCTCCAGACTCCCAGGACTCTGGTTCTCTCTGCTTCTGCTTCCGGTGGCTGCTTATCTGGTTCAAGAGGGAATTCCCCTTCCCGGATGTCCTCCGGCTGTGGGAGGTGCGCCAGCTGGGTTGAGGGGGAGAACTGAGGCAGAGAGACTGGTGGGCGGGCGGGGAGGTTGGTGGGAGGTGGGCAGGGCATGGGGCCGACCTGGGTGGGGCCTGGGGCGGAGGCTTTGCCAGTGACCCCTCCCTCGGGCACGCCAGGTGCTGTGGACAGGGCTCCCCGGCCCCAATCTGCACCTGCTGGTGGCCTGCGCCATCCTGGACATGGAGCGGGACACCCTCATGCTTTCCGGCTTCGGCTCTAATGAGATCCTCAAGGTGCACCCCCGGCTCCCCCGGAGGCACATCAGGGTGTGAGCTCCATGGGGGCAGGCACCACCCCTGTGCCACAGCCCCTTTGGGTGGTGGGTCCTCAGAATAGGATTGTTGAAGGTGTGGTCCGCTGAGCTGTGAGCACAGTGGCTGGGGGACGCCTCTGTGCGTCTCCTACCCCGCCTAACCCCTGGCTCCCTCAGAGAGCTCCCCTCCCTCAGAGGGGCCCCCGCCCCTCCCCCAGGGCATCAGTGCGGGGCGGGCCCTTCCCCTCCTTGTATGCTGTGCCTGGCAAGCAGCCTGAGAGCATGACCTCTCCTGATGCCAGGGCTCCACTGTGAACCCTAAGAGGGCCAGCCCCTTGTGTCTTCCCCCGGGTCCCCAGCAAGCAGCACAGAGTAGGCGCTGGGGCGGTGGTGGTTGAGTGCGGGCTGGCAGGCGGGCCTGACACCCCCCTCGCCGCCCTGCAGCACATCAACGAGCTGACCATGAAGCTGAGTGTGGAGGACGTGCTGACGCGGGCTGAGGCCCTCTACCGGCAGCTGACCGCCTGCCGGGTGAGTCCCTGACCCCTCCCGATACCACCCCCAACCTCCAGGAAACCTCTGACTTGATGCTCCCTACCCCCCATGCCCCAACCCTCCAGGAGCTACCCCACAACGTGCAGGAGGTTCTAGGCTTGGCGCCGCCTGCAGAGCCCCAAAGCCCCTCACCCCCTGCCTCCCCACTGCCGCTGTCGCCCACCCGGGCCCCACCAGCTCCGCTCCCCTCCGCGGACACGGCCACGGCCACGCAGCCTGACAGCAGTCTGGAGATCCTGCCTGAAGAGGACGACGACGAGGAAGGTGTCGACTCCTAACCGTGCTGGGCTACCGCAGCAGCCCCACAGGACTAAACACTTTATCCAGCTCCCGCCCCACGCCCCCGCCCCTGCCAGAGTCTGAGGACGCAGGAGCAGAGGGGCCGGGCCCTCCACCCACTCCTCCCTTCTCTTGAAACTGACACTTTCCTGTTCAGGTGGCCTCTAGAGGTTGGGGGAGGAAGGCCACCACGCTGCCTTGGCCCTGGATGGGGAGGCGGGTGGTGGAGGCTCATGGTCTCCCCATACCGTTCTGCACAGTCGATATCTGACCGTTGTGACCCTGATCTGGCAGATGAGGTGTAAGAGGCAGCCCCTTGGGGGTGGGTGAGTGGTGGGGGCTTGTGGAGGCAGCGCTCCCTTACCTGCCTGAGTTTGGGGCTTCTGGAGGAGCGAGGATGGGGTACTGGGGTGCAGCCGCCACGTAGTAGATGAGCTGGGGTACATCCCGGACCTAACTCAATAGGAGGGCCTGCGGAGCTGCTCGCTTGGGCCCTGCCTACCAGCTTCTTGTTATGAGAAAAATAAACTTGTGTTTCACCCACTGTCAACTGGGCTTTTTGTTCCTTGCATAAGGATCCATTGGTGTCATTTACAACCGTGATGGGCACTATGATTACCACCATTTACCAGTGGCGCAAAGCAGTGTCCATTGTGTACCTCCTACTACCCCAAGTGGAGTCCCATGGCGCAGGAAGGAGGAGGACAGCTTCCGGGGCTCCCGGACAGGCGCAGCGCCTTCTACCGCGGAGGCTCACGGTTCTCCCTGCGAAATGGGGAAACGGTTGAGCCAGGTAGGGGGCGGGACCACACGGCTGATTCCAAAAGTACTTTAATACTGGCTCTTCTTTGGGGTCGAGTGTCCGGCGGTTACCGCATGTGAGGCTGGAGAGTGGGTGCCCTGCCCACTTTCCAAGGGGCACTGGTGGTGGTGGTGGTGGTGGTGGGCGGGCGCCAGGTGCCCATGCCCCATCTTGATGATCCGGGGCTCCTTCAGGCGGCTGCTAGAGCCAGAGCCGGAGATCCGACTGTTGATCAAGACCGCGGCCCGCAGCGCCGACTTGACGGCCGTCTCCACCCAACCGTGCGGGTAGGCTGTGTGCTCGCCGGCGAAGTAGATGCGGCCATAGGGCACCGACCAATCGTACTCCCGCCCCTCGTCCTTGTCAGTTTGAAAGAGCGTCGGCGGCTGCACCACGAAGCCGCCCTGGCTGTGCGGATCCTCCGCCCAGCGCTTGACGATACCGGTGCCGTCCCAGAGTCTGTACGCGATGGGCCCGTGCAGCGCCGCCACGTCGTCGAGCGCCAAGCGCAGCGATTCGGTCAGGCTCCGGCCGGCGAACGGGGCCGCCGCGTCCGACCACGTGTACGAGGCGAGCAGCAGCGCGCCGTCGCCCGGCGCCGGGTAAAAGATCACCCGCGACGGGCGGTCGGTGCTCGAGTGGCCGCCCTCGATGTGTTCGTCGTGCCAGAAGGGCCGGCGGAAGCTCAGGAACACCTTGGTGGCCGGCACATAGTGCAGCCCGCGTACCGCCTCCTGCCGCTTGCGCGTCAGCGGCGGCGTGAAGGTGATGCGCTGCAGCGCCGGCCCGCTCACAGTCAGCAGCACCACGTCGGCCATCATGGACTTCAGGTTCCGGGTCCGGCGCGAGGACTTGATGTGCACCCTCACCTCGTGCGTGCCCTGTTTAATCGCCACGACGGGCGCGTGCAGCAGCACCGGCCCCGACAGCGAGCTCAGCAGCGCGCGCGGCAGCAGGTCCCAGCCGCCCACGATGCGGCTGTACCTACGGGCGGGGCACGAGCAAGACGGACTCTCGGGCCCCGCCCCTCCCCAGCGGCCCCCATCCCGGGGCGCTCCCCGCTCCAGGTCTCACCTGCTGGTTCCCTCTAATTCCCCGCCCCCTCGTCCACCGCCGCCCTCACCGGTCCCCGACGTCCTTCGAGGCCGGGAGGTAGAACGGTGTGACCCGGACACGCCGTCTTGGCCCCTCTGTACCACGCCCCTCTCCGGGAGCCTTCCTTCCTTCAGAGGACTCGGGCACATTGCAGGCGGGACCTAGCATGTCTCCCCGCCCCCACCCGGCCCCGCCCCTCTACGGGCCCCGCCCCTATTTCCCCGCCCCTAGGGCCCCGCCCACTCATAGACTCCGCCCCTCTACAGGCTCCGCCCCTCTATGGGCCCTGCCCTCCCTCCGCCCCGCCTTCTCACCGGAGCCGGTCGCTGAGGCAGCTGTGGGCCCGCAGGGCCTCGGCGAAGCTGAGATAGAAGAAGCCGTCCTTGGACATCACGTCTCCCAGGAGCCGCACGGCCGGCTGGCTCAGGTTCCCCTCCCCGAGGAGGTATTCCTGGGGACGGCGCGGTCCGGGTCAGGGCCCAGGCAGGCCAGGCCGGCTGGCTCCGTCCCTATTCCCGGGCGGCGGGGGTGGCGGGGGGCGCTCCCCGCGGAATCTCTGTGGTTTAGTGTCGGTTCCCTGGACCTTGACGATACAGTCCCCCCTCTTGTGACAGATGAGGGAAACCAAAGCCCAAAGAGGGGCGTATCCAGCCTTGTAAGGAAAGGAGGTGGTGGCAAGCCCAAGCCCGGCATCCCCGGTTCCTGCCTTCTGACTCCGCCGGCGCCTAAGCCCCAGGAGCACCCTCCTTGTCCGACTCCCGCTCAGATAGCGACATGGAGGCCCCCACTCACCAGGAGCGTGTGCCTTTCAAACTTCATCATTGCCTTCTTGCAGCCCAGTGTCCGGAGATCTTTGATGGCCTGTGTGGGACAAGCAGACGGTGCAGAGCTGTGGGGACAGGACCAGGGAGGCCCTGCCCACTTCTCTTGCCCACAGCTGCCCGTTTACTACTCTCATTCAAGCCAGGACGTTGCCCATGCTGTGCCCTCAGCTCTGCCCTCCGCTGCAACTCAGTGTCTCCCCTGGGAAGTCTTTCCGAGTTACAGCATCGCACAGCCCTGGTCGGGTGTTATTCTGCCTGCCGGTCCAGCTCCTGCGCTCCTCACAGGCAGGGATGGCGTGGTCTCAGTTGGCCCTGTGTCCTTCTGGTGCCCAGTAATTACTTGTCATCTGGATCGCTGTGCACCCAGACGGACTCTGAGTCCCTCCTGCTGCACCCATCAGCCGTGACAGGGCACAACTGCCCACGGGGAGTTATTCTTGGCACCTCCCCTGCCCCAGCCTTTCTGTGGCTCCCCAGCACCTGCAGCCAGAGTTCCAGCCCTCGGCCTGGCGTTCAAGGCGGCTGCCAGGCCCTTGGTCACACCATCCCTTAGGGCAGCTCCGGCCTACAGTGCAGTGTCCTGTGCCCAGACCACCCTCTGGTCCCCCCACCTCCACACCCCTGCTCCTGCTCCCCCATATTGTTTCTGCTGGGCACCTGAGTGGCCATCGTTCACTGCTCTGTTCCTGTCCCGGAAGCCTCCTGCCCTCTCTGTTTCAGCCCTCTCCTTTGTCCACCTGGCTTCTCCCAGGTGGCCAGGGAGCTCCCCAAAGGAGGTGTCCCTTCACTCACACTCACCCTTCCCCTCATGTTTTCCTGGACTCCCTAAACTGGGCAGTGCCAGGGCACAGAAAAGGCCTCCACTAAGTGCCCACCCTTGAGGTGGTCCAGGCCACTGAGAAGGGGATGGGAGATGGGGATCAGCAGTATTTAAGGGGAGCCTAAAGACGGAAGAGCCAGTGACAGGAGACCAGAAAGAACGGGAAAACGGCAGCCAGTTCAGGAGGAGGTGTGTGGCTCAGGAGGACAGGGCAAGGGACCAGGGCTGCAGGGCTCGCGGACGCGCCTACCCTGTTGAGAGCCATCTGGTAGATTTCTTCGGGCGAGCGGCCCTTCTCCTTGGGGTTCAGCTTGTAGCCTAGCTTCTCAGGCATTTTCTCCACCACATAGTTACGCAGCTTCACCTCGTTCACCTCTGTCCACGTGTTCTCGTCGTACTGGGTGAATTTGGTCAGGTTGAGGCCCAGGCTCTTGCAGAGCTCATGGAGGATCCTGAGGGGGTGGAGGTGCCCGTGAGGGTCAGGCGGGGGCGGGGACCCCTCTCCCCAGCGGGGCTTGAGAAGGGTAGGGGGTAGGTGGGGCAGCTGAATATGGGGTTTGGGGATGGGCATGAACCTGGAGCAGGGCTAGATTGGGGGTCTTCGGTGCCAGGGACCAGAGACTGAAATGAGAACAAGGCTGGAAGGCGGAGGGTTTGGGTTTGGAGTGGGAGTTCAGGGCTAACTTTCACTGGGGATGAAGTGGAATAGCGACAGAATGGGCTGGATGGGGGTGGGAGCTGGGGGTGGGGAAAGGACGAGGGTCGGGGAGGACAGAGCTGGGGGTCTGGAAGGGCTGGACACGGTGGCCTGAGTGCTTCAGGGGTGCAGTGGTGGGGCTGGAGGCGGGAGGCTGGGAGGACAGAGTTGGGGGTGGAGTCTAGGCCTGACTTGACCAGGGCCTCAAGTTTGGGGTCTGGGTTTGTGATGGAGCCGAGCATCCAGCTGAGTCTGGGCTCGGGCCTGGGCCGGGGGGGGCGGGGGGCTGGGGTGGCCCCGCACCTGCCTGGTTGCCAGGCCCGATCTCACCTGTGCGAGCTGGGCATGCGCATGGCCCCCAGCTCCCCAATCCAGCCTGTCTTCCGGTCGCGGTAGGTGAGGATGCGGCCCCCAATCCTATTGTCTGCCTCCAGGATGGTGACCTGGGGAGAGGTGGCAAGCAAGTCCTTCAGCTCTTCCCACTGGCCCCCATCTCCACTCTGTGGCAGCCCCTCTGTACCCCGCCTTCCGTCCCCACAGCAGCACAGATGGAGACCAGAGAAGGACCCTTTTTTATGGGGAGGTGAGGGGCTTGGCGGGAGAACAGAAAGTCACAGTGAACATGTACAGTGTGACGGCTGGTTTCTAGACTGCAGCAGGAAGGCTGCTGGGCAGATTTCAGAGGGACTTCCCTGCTCAGGGAGTGGGGAGATTCCTTGTGCAGACTGAAGCCATTGACCTGGCTCATACTCATTCTTGGATTCAGTGAGCGGGACAGTGGTGCGACTTCAGGGGGCACTTCCCCTGTCTGGACTCTCCCTCCCTCTCCACCAACACAAATCCCCCCCAGGAGCTGGGTGGAGGTTTCCAGGGACTTCCCTCCAGGATGAGAGCGGGGCAGGGAAGTTAAAGGTCTCTCAGCGCAGACACGCACCATCCTTCTGGGTTTCACGTTACTGCAGAGGGTTCCAGGCCCCCAACCCCCAGACCACGAGGAAAGCAGAGATCCCTCTCCCCTCCCCCCATCAGCCTCTCCCCTCAGGAGGGACGTGGCCCGGTCTCTCCACCCGGGACTCCCAGCTGCAGCAGGAAAGACTCGAGGTAGACCTCTAGCATTACTTCTCACCTTGTGTCCAGCATCGCTGAGCACCTTGGCGGCCACCAACCCGGCCACGCCCGCACCAACCACAACCACCCTCCGGGGCTTCAAGGTCCGGTTGAGGCCCAAGGTCACGACTTTGAGCAGCTGCTCGTAGTCAGGGTCGTGCATGCATTTCTCGAAGGGGTCATAGATGTGGGCCGTCTGCCAGTCCAGGGAGGCCGCCAGGCTGAGGAAGACGGGGACCAGGGCGAGGAGGCGCCAGGCTGGGGGCAGGAGGACAGGGTCAGTGGGTAGGTCGGCAGGTGTGCGGACAGGGGGTGGTGGAGCAAAGCGGGTTCTGCCCCCTCCCCTCCTGACTTACCCAAGGGGTCCATGACTCTCGTGTCTGGGTTGGAGATGTGTCTGGGTCAGAGGGGAAGCAAAGCCGCTGTCACAGGAGCCTCCGTCCTCCCAGCCTGACCCGCTGGGGGCTGCCGGCTCCCACCTCAGCCCTCGCCCCTAGGGCCGTGTGCGTCCCCTAATCCTGGGCTGGCCGGCTCCTGTCCTGCCTCCGTTTCTCCTCTGTTCGCCCTGTCTCCCCGTCCCCCGTCTGGGTCTGTGGGGCCCCGTCTGTCCGCAGCCTCCTCGCCACCTCGGGCTCCCCAGGCGCACCCCTTTCCTCCGGCCCCTCCGCTGGTCTGCCTGCTGCCGCGTCTCCCTCGCTGGCCTTAAACCCATTGGTACCCCGCCCTCCCCTCCCTTTTGGGAAACCCAGCTGTGGGAAATGAAACTCCTTTCCTGGGCAGCAGGTCAGATGCTGAGTCTAGTCGAGGCTGGAGTGGGTGGGGGCGGGGGGAGCACATCAATCTGTTTTCTTCCTCTTGCCCCAAATAGTTCAGGGGCAGCTGGGCAGCTGCAAGTACATGCTCAGGCGACCGTGCTGAGCGCGGGGGCTGCCCCCGGCCCGCTCTGAGCCCTGGTTCCCCTTAGCTGGCCCCTGTGCCTGCCCTCTGCTCTGCCTCCTTCTCGGGTGGGGGCGGGGGCGGGTGCATTTCTGGCCTTGGGGCAGCATGCTCCCAGGGACAGCTGAGTCCTGTCCTGAGTCCTCCTCGGCGTCAGCCATCTCGGTGCCCTGGAGGGTCCTCGCTGGCTCCCCTCCCATCCCACGTGGCCGCTCTGAACCTCAGTTTCCCGCTCAGTGAAATGGGTACAGCTGGGGGACCCGTGGGCAGCAGGGAGAGCTCTGGGCCAGTCTGCCCCGGTCCTGAGCCCGGCAGCTGCCAGCGGAGACTCGGGGAGGGCCTTCCCTTCTGTGGCTCAAGCCTGCATCTGTCAAGTGGGGGCCACTGCAGCGCCAGTGGGAACAGGCAGTGAACCCAGGTCGGGGCCAGGAACAGCCCCCTGGGGTCAGGACTAAAAGCTGCTTCTTAGGAAATGCCGATGACTGGTGCCACGGGGGAGCCCAGAGGGATTCAGTGCCCTGCACCAGGAGCGCTCCCTGCGCCTGCCCTGGGAACCGCTGTGCCGCCTCACTCAGGCCAGGGCATCGGGTGTTTCTGTCTGCCCTGCCTTCGGCCATCGCCACCGCTGCCTGTGTGTGCTCTTCTCCTGAGAGGTGAACTGCAGGCAGGGAGAACAGGCTGACCTGCCTCCAAGGAACCCCCACCTGGCTCACGGCTTTGGCTTTGGGGCTTTAGCCGGGTCCTTTGAAGGGGTCGGGGATGGAGAGGCAATTGTGGGGACTTTTCTTGGGGTTGGAGGAGTGAGCACAGGAGGGGCGGGGGCGGTGGGGGGTGGGGTTGGTGGTGGTGAAGAGGAAAGCCAGAGGGCATCAGGTCCTTGCAGCTGATGGGAAAATCCAAACCGTAAATCAAAGAGGGATGTGGTCTGGTGGAGGTAGGGGGGTGGGGAGTGCACAGAGTGAGTCAGAAGGCATCTGAAATGGATGGGTGGGGAGGTGTGGCCAAGGAGGAAACAGAATCAGTCAGTGAGCTGGACAGAGCCTCGGAGACACAGAAAGCCAAGGGCGAGTCAGCAGAGACTGGAGGCAGAGGGACTTTCCCCTGTTGGAGCGGGTCTGTGATCAGAGCATTGCACTGGACAGAGGCGGAATCTGAGACTCAGAGGGGACCGGGGAGCACCCCAGGACCTGCCCAAGGCCCCAGAGCTGGCAGGCCTTCCCATCACAGAGCCCGCCGGCTCCCTTAGTGACGTGGACAGTGGGGGCGGCACCTGGTCAGGCCCTCTGAGGGAGGGAATTGGCTTGTCCCGGCGGGGCGGAGGTGGGCATTTGCACTGGGGGCCCCCATGGGGAACGGCAGAGCTGGGAGTCCGGCTGATCTCAGGTCCCCGTGCCCGGCCCAGAGGCCCCTCTGCTCTAGCCAAACAGCACAGCGATGGCCCCACAGGGAAAGGAAGGAGCAAGAACACGGAGGCAAAAAGGGTGGAGGCAGCAGAGCCAAGGGGCCCCAGGCGTGTCTGGGCACGTCCAGGCAGTGTTCCTAACCACTTAGTTATTAGCTCAGGCTGTGGACTGGGGACGGGCCAGCTGGTGGGACCATCTTTTCGGGGTGGTCCCGTGCACTGCAGGATGTGAGGACCACCACTGGCCTCTGGATGCCAGGAGCACTTTGCCCCTCAAGGCTTAACCCCCACCGATGTCTGCATTCCCAGGCTGGGGGGAAGCACTGGGCTGGAGTTTGGATGATGCTGGGTGAAACGCCCAAGAGCAGCCAGGTATGGTCCCGGGAACACCTGGCAGGAGAAGTGCTGGAAGGCTGGATAGCAGAGGTTACTCTGGGGTCAAGAGAGTGTGAGTCATCTGGGGATTGCTTGGGTAGAAACGGGACCTCCCAGAGTCACTCCTGATAATATCAGAGAGATTGGTGTCAGGCTTGATTTTGGGGTAAGAATTAGGGGCGGGAAAACGGGGGTTGGATTGGCTTGGGTTTCCAAAACTTGTGAGCAGGAGACAAAAGACACACCAGGCTTCCCACCAAATCCAGCACCGGTTGCTTCAGCTGATTTTGAGGTGCTTTTGGTGTTTCTTTTTTTTTTTTTTGCTTTTGGTGTTTCTAAGAAACAATGTCAACCCTCTCAGATAAAACTTGTCTTTTGGGAGAAAGCCCTACCTTATTTGACTTGCTTCTGGAACCTCGATGACAGTTCTAACGGGATTAGCTCACCTCTGGAGCAGCCAGAGACCTGGCTCTGGCCCCCCAGGAGCCTCCACGGCCCCTCAGGATAGCTAACAGTGATGGCGGCCACAGAAGTGGGCGATGGACAGGGCTAGACCCTCACATATGTTCTCTCCTCTGGGTCAGTTAAAGACCCTGAGTTGTTCTTTAGTTGCTCAGTCGTGTCCGACTCTGAGACCACATGGACTACAGCCCGCCAGGCTCCTCTGTCCATGGGATTTCCCAGGCAAGAATACTGGAGTGGGTTGTCATTTTCTTCTCCAGGGGATCTTCCCGACCCAGGGGTTGAACCTGCATCTTCTGCACTGGCAGGTGGGTTCTTCACCACTGAGCCACCAAAGAAGCCCAAGACCCTGCATGGTCAGTAGTAAAACTTCCACCATGTCTCAGAGGAGGCCAGGGCCTACCCGGGGGATGCCGAGGGCCCCAGGAGGGAGTCAGGGGTCCCAACCTGGATGGGCAAGGGGCATGGAGAGTGGAGGGCAGACGGACTCACCTGAGGCCCCTGACCTCTGGCCTGACTGGCAGACAGGAGCCCCTTCCCCTAGGGAGCCCCTCCTTCCCAGCTTCCAGACCCTGGGGCTACCGTGGGGACACTCACTGCACGGCTGGCTCTGGCGGGCTCTCTCAGTGCCCATGGCCTTTCTGCTTAGCCCGGGACGGATGTCATCGTCGGGCGAGGGTGAAACCGGGGTGACTGGCTCTGGCTCTGTCCTGTTTTCCCTGTTAGACTGGCAATGCCAGGGTCCTGGTGTGGGGTCGGATCAGCTGGGAGGCTGTGGAGCGTAGGCCCTCCTGTCTGGAAAGCTTTTTGTTATGAAAAATTTCAAATATAAATAAAAACAGACAGACTAGGATGATGAAGCCAGGTGCCTTTATCACCTCCTAGTCCATCTTATCTCATTTACACTCTCTCCCTCCCCCACTGGAATACTTTAAAACATTGCTATTATTTGGGAGGTAAATGCTTGAGGGTGTTTCTGTAAGGCAGGGGTTGGCAAACTTTTTCTATAAACATTTGAAGCTTTGGGGGCCACGTGGTCTCTGCCTGGCCTACACAACTTCATCATTCCTCCTGCAGTCATATGTAAATGAATGGGTGTGGCTGGGTTTCAATAAAACTTTACAGAAACAGGAAGTGGGGCCATAGTTTGCCAACCTCTGCTCTGAAAGATATAAGAACTATTTGATTTTTACTAAAATTCCAGTATCATTATCACATTTAAAAATGACATAAAATCAATGCTTATACTTCTCCGATTGACTCAAAACTTTTTTTTTTTTTTTAGAACAACACAGTTGGTTTGAATCAACATTCAAAGAGCCCACACTGCATCTGAGTGATACTGTCTTTGTCAGTAATTGTCACTTTCAGCTCAGTGGATCTGGGTCTGTGTTCCTAGAACTGGGAGAGTTGGTGGGATCTGATGAGACCCCATGGCCCCAGGGGGGCCTGAGCCTGGTAGAGTGGCCCACCAGATCTGATCTCTGCGTAAGGACATTTCTGGACATCATGGGGCTGAACCAGGATGGTGTCTGTGGTGAGGTGCGGGCAGTGCCCAGGTGAGGCACGAGTCCCAAGGCACCAGGGCTGAGGTGAGGGCTGTGGGACAGACAGGCGCAGGGGCAGCTCGGGACAGTTAGGTCTGGGTGGTGTCCATGAGCGGACCTGACTTGTGAGGGTGAGGCAACTCGTGCCTGGGACGTTCTGCAGAGCTGCTGGTCTGAAGGAAGACTTGGGCTTTTTTTGGCTGCGCCGTGCAGCAGCGTAACTTCCCTGACCAGGGACTGAACCTGTGGCTCCTGCAGCAGAAGCAGAGTCTTAACCACCGGACCACTGAGGAAGTCCCAGGAGGGCAGACTTTGAAAGTACCCAGGCAATTTCGAGGTTGACTGAAAACCTCAGGAGCGGTGGTGTGCCAGAGCCGGCTCACACCTTTTCACAAGTCATTTAATTTGCAGACCTTTTTGCAGTTTTGGTTTGTGAACCATTATTAAAAGATGAAAACATTTACCATGAGTCTTATTAAAAACAAGGGTAAAACTCAAAACCCATCCACCCCTTAAGTATTTGATTACCTTTTACTATTACATATATACTCTCCACGTAAACTGGTTTTATCTACACAGTGTGCGTCCATTTCCCAAATTCGTGTTCTTCGACTTCATCCTGGTGGCTTGAAATCATCCACAGTGGGAGAATTCACACCGTGGAAATGGGCACATGCTACCTCTGACCCTGGAAGACCAACTGCTGAAACACTGACCAGCACACCACTGCTTGGGGATCATCTATTTCAACCTCCTGCTGGAGATCAAGGGTGCTCTCCCTCGGGAAATGTTTCAAACACTGACTTTTTGATGCCCAGCGGTGCCAAAGGAGGCAGGGGCGTTCTCCCGGGGAAGGGGATGGGCTGTAAGCTGTTTGAGGGGATCTTGGGAGATGAAAAGTCATAACCGTAAACCCCCAGTTGCTATTCTTCTCCCTAAATAGGGAGAAAAAATGCCGTAACCACTTACTGAGAAAAAAGATTCACCTTTTTAAAAGCCTCTGACTCCAAATTTAGTCACCACTTTCTTCATATTAATGAATGAAGAGGAACTTAAGAAGCCATGTGTCTGCACTGACAGGGAAACGCATCTGTGTTTTCTTCCTGGAAAGGGAAATTAGTTACAATGAAGCCAGCATCACGGGGTGGCATCCAGTCACAGCGGCTGGCCCTGTTGCAATCTTGGGGGCTCCCTGGTCCCCCAGGAAGCCGTTGGGGGCCATTCTCCCCATGGTGCCCGAGTACCAGAAACACCCCTCCTGCATGGCTGTCGTACCAATTTATTACAACCACCTGCGTTCTTCAAAAGCCTTGTGCGCGAGATCCCTTGGGGTGTGGGAGGAAAATATTAAAACTACCATCTTTTTAAAAAGAGTTTTTGATATGAAGCAGTTTTAAAGTTTCTGTTACCATGTTGCTTCTGTTCTACATTTTGGTTTTTGGGCTGCAAGGTGTGTGGCATCTTAGCTCCCCACAATAGACTGAACCCACACCCCCGTATTGAAGGGCGAAGTCTTTCAATCTTTTAATCAGTGGACAGCCAGGGAACTCTCTTTGATTGAAAAACAAACTAAAAAAACCAAGAAAGAAATTAGGCTTCACTTGTTTAACATGCAAAGTAATAGGTTTATGCTACGCATTGGAAATGCAAGCGCAAGGAATCGTTTTTCCTATCATGCCTGTGTGGCCCCTGCCAGGGTGACCTCATGGGTGGGCAGATAACCTCACGGGTGGTTCCATTTCTGAAACCCCAGTGCCAGACTGGGACCTGATGTATAGCAAGTGTCCCAAAGACGGATGCTCAATGAATACATGTAGATAGAATACTACTTCCTAATGGGACTCAAGGGGGTGGGATGCGGGTACCGGATGGGGTCACAGCTCCCAGACTGCGCAGAGGGCCACTGTCGCAGGGGGTGGAGCCTTCCTAGAAGCAGCTGAGGTTGCTGGGGTCTCCCGCCTCTGGTTTGTTTCCCCTCCTCTTCCGTGGCTTCTGCTTGGATGAGACAGTGGTCTCTAGAAGTCCAAGATGGCCCAAGGAAATGACTCATGGTCATGACTTTGGGAAACTGGACCATGTATGTCCAGGAACAAGCCCTGGACACTCCAGAGCCAAAACACAGCTTAAGTGTGAGTGAGCCAAGGGAGGCCGGAGGGCAGACTTCCCGCCCTGTGCCACGAGCAAGATCTGAGTGCATTCCCCCCCAAGCATGACCTGGAACCTACTCTTTTCCCAACCTTCTTCTAAGTTATCCACAAAAACAGCAGCTTTTATTTCCACAATACATTTTATTTAGAAAAGCAACATATAGCCGTAGGTATTTCAGAGAGTACAGCAGAATGTAAAGACAAACACAAAAGACACCTGGACACAGCTGGCTTCTGGACACTGGATCTCACTGGAACTGACCAGGTTTGCCCTGACTCTGGGAGGCTCAGAATCAAGTCTGTGGCTGCCCCTGGCACCCTGGCCACTTCCACAGGCATTCATTCGGTGGGCAAGCGTTTTATGCTGTCTCATCTCTACTGTTCACCTGTGTGACAGTGACAGGGACTGTGCTGAGCACACAGAGGGGACAGGAAACAGGCCCACAAGGCACACAACCTGATGGCGAGGGGAGAAGTGAGTAGTCTGCACAGTCTAGTGTGGCCAGTGTTACCAAAGGTGTGCGATCACAAGCTCAGTGTGGGGGGCGCCGTGGGACGGCACCCGACCCGGCTTCAGGGTGGCCGACGCAGTGTGTCAGCCAGGCAAGGGGAGACCTCTTTTCTTTTCTGACCTGTCTCTCCTCCTTTGAAATCCCACGTCCCACTGTCCTCTCCATCCACAAGCCACTTCTCTGAATCGCTCACACTCACTCCAGGCAGCTGGCTCCGTGAGGATGGAGCTCTCCTCGCCTTATCTCTGACTCTGGGTCTGGCAGAGTGGAGGCCTGGCGCCCTGGCTGGGAGACAGGCGGCGCTCTGGCGGCTCAGCCGTCCTCCAGCACAACTGGAGGCGGGTAGTTGTAGCAGGTGGAGAGGGTCTAGGACGTGGAGAAACCACACCTGCGAGGAGGCTGCTGCCTGGACCAGAGCGCTAATACTTTCTACTCACTAAGATGAAAAGTCAAGCCACAGAACAGTTCTATCAGCAGCACAACTGTTTGAAAGACAGAAACACACACATACGTATTTCCCTGCACCCCAACAACGCAACAGTAACCCCACCCCCGCCCTGGGCAGCGGGCTCAGTCGAAAGTGATGCGGAAGCTGCGCTCCTGCTCCTTGCGCCGGCCTTCGCACACCTTGGTCACCTCCTCCACCTTCCTCTGCAGCAGCGCCGAGTTCTGGTCAATCCACTGCAGAGAGTCCATGTGCGCGTTGAGGATCTTGCAGATCTGCTGCAGCGGGTCGCTGGTGTCGGCCGGGCCCCCCGCCGTGTTCAAGTGCTCGATGATGTCCTTGAGGTCCTGGGCCATGCGCTTGAGCTGCGCGTCGATGTTCTCCGCCAGCTTGTAGGTCTTCTCGCGCTCCTCGTCGGCGTGCTGCAGGTGCACCGTGCCGCTCTGCTCCTTGACCGACTCCTCCAGCGGGCTCAGCAGGTCCTCCAGCTCCTTCTGCTGCGACAGGATGAAGTCGAGCTCCTGGTCCAGCCGCTTCTGGTCCAGCTTCACCTTCTCCACCTCGCGGTGGAGGCTGGTGATCCTCTCGCCATTCTCGATCAGCGTGCGGTCCCAGGCGTTGACTTGCGTGGCCTGCTGCAGGAAGTGCCGCTCCTGGTCTTCCAGCTCCAGGCTCCACTTGTTGATGAGACTCTCCAGCTGGGCGTAGGTCAGCGCAGCGCTGGCCGACCCCCCAGCAGCCGCGTTGGGGCCAGAGGGCGCGCTCCCAGAGACCGCCGTGTTGCTGGGGATCCCGGCTGGAGTCAGCGGCTTTATGTTCAGGGAGAAGCCGGTGGTGCTGGTAGTGGCGGCAGTCGTGGTCGTGGTGGTTGTCGCCGTGGAAGTGGTGGAAGCTGCTCCGGGGGGCTTCAGGTTGAAGCCCAGCGTCCCTGCTCCCGCTGTCCCCGCAGTGGTCGCTGGGGTGCCAAGGGAGAGCCCGGTGGCGGCGGACGAGGTGGGAGTGGCTGCCAGCGAGGTGAAGAGCGAGGGCCCGGCGCTGGCGGTGGTGGCGGCTGGGGTGGGCGCGGCCGGCTGGGCGGCTCCCGCTCCGGTAGCCGCCGGAGTGGCAGCGGTGAAGGGCAGCCCGCTGAGGGCTGGAGGCTGGGCCGGGCCCCCCAGGGAGCCTACGTTGAAGCCAGAGGTCCCCGTCTGGGATGCGCTCCCACTCGTGAACGAGAAGCCCCCCGACGTGGACGTGGTGGGCGGGGCGGCAGATGCAGTGGTGGAGCCAAACACAAAGCCGCTGGGCGCCGCACCCTGGGCGGATGTGCTGGTGATGGAGACTGCACCGCTGAGCGTGCTGCCCCCGAGCCCGAAGCCGCCAGGCTGCGTCGGGGCCGGCGCCGCGGCCGCGCTGCCCAGGCTCAGCTTTGGGGTGTTGCTCCCTAAGGAAAATCCGGTGGCTCCTGCTGCAGGCGTCGTGGTCCCAAAGTTGAAGGCCGGGGTCTGTGTCGCGGGAGTCTGGGTGCTGAGTGAGAACAGGCTGGTGGAAGGGGTGCTGGCGGCTGACTGGGAGGGAATCCCAAAGCTAAACCCGCCAGTGCCGGACGTGGAGGAAAAAAAGCCCGTAGTGGCCGTGGTCGTTGCGGTCTTCGCGGTGCCAAAGGTGAACCCGCCTGTGGGGGCCCCAGTGCCTCCAAAATTAAAACCGCTCATGGCTCCAGACTCTGGGGGCAGCAGCTACTGCGGCTCCAAAGCAAATCCACCGGTGTCTGCAACCTTGGGAAGATTTGCAAAGCAGGGGAAGTGACATGATCAGACGGCAGATCTGGAAAAAAACCACCTCAGTGGCACGATGGAGCTCGGTCTGAAGGGGGGCGGGACTCAATTCTGATAAGCGCCTGCTCCTCTTCCTGCTGTGTAACCTAACCAGGCCCTGCTGAACTAGGAATGACGGACAGCGACGTACAGCCCCGCCCCCGGGGGTCTAGCAGGGTCAGCACCAGCTAGAGGCCCACTGCTTGGGGCAGTGGACGCTGAAGAGCAGGCGCCTCTGGCAAGCGGGATTAGAGTCACACAAGAGCCTTCGGGACCTGCCCCCCAGGTCTCCCTGCTGACTGCAGGTGGGTGGGGGGCAGGCTGATTTGGCTGAGCACCACCCCAAGTGCCCCTCTGAACCTCAGAGACCGGCCCCAGGAAGCTGAGCTTACAACAGGGCCTTGGGTGCCAAAGGCTCTGTCTGGGCACACCCCACGCTGTTTAGGAGGACAGAGGGCACGTGGGCGCAGTCCCCTGTCCTCCTAACTCGGGGTGGGCAGGAGACCCGAGTGCTTGGAGCACCTGGAGCCCCTGGCCGCAGGGGCTGGTTTCAAGGGGACGTGGAGATTTGAGCTAGCCAAGAGACCGCCCCCACCTGCAGGTGCAGGGCACGGAGGATGAGCATCAGGGGACACTGAGCGCCGCCAGAGAGAGCAGAGAGGAGAGAGCGAGAGGGCAGAGTATGAGAGCTGCCAGAAACCCCAGTCCTGCTCACCAACCCCGCCTGGTCTTCATTAGAAGCTCTGGGAGCCAGCACATCCCTGTTCAGTCAAAGGTGACTGCTTTCTATTGGAAAAAGCCCTAAGCAAAGCCATCTGGTAGCTGGACAGTCAAAGGTGACTTGGAGAAGAAAGAGTTGGAGGGCATCCTGGGTAGAGGCGTTTTCAGGAGAGGGATCACAGGCTAAGCACTGACGGCTGGCGGGCTGCTCACGTAAGTGACATCTCCTGCTGTCTGGAGGCGGAGATGGTGTCCCCACATCCGAGATGTGGAAACTGGGGCTCAGGGGGCTGCGGTGATCTACTAGGAGCTGACCCCAGGCCCAATCCACCAAGCTCCTCATCCAGCACGGGCACCAATTAGGGGGTAGACTGGGCATCAGATATAAGGGAAGCCCTGCATCCTATCTACTGATACAGCCTCTTAACTATACTCAAGAAACACTGGGAATGACAACAAAGAGAAGCAGAACACAAATTTACTACTGCAGTGTGATCTCAGCTATGGAAAAACCCTGAACAAGGAGGGCTGGAAAGAAATACACAGAGATGTGTCTGGGATCCGTCTTTGGCTGGTGGGACTACACATGGATGGCCTCTCCCTGCTAATTTGCAGTAGTTTCCAAGTGCTCATTCCTGCCTGTACAATAAACATAATTGATAAGATAGGTTTTTGAAAAAGATCCTCGAATTACAGTGTAAATTCACGCTGAAGAACCAACTAACCTGTGCAGCTGGGTTCTAGAATCACAATTTGAGCAGGACAGACGGAGTGACTGAATCAAACAACCTCCCCCAGTCTGGCACTTGGTCACACCTTGTCTCGGCTGTGGGGCAGCGGTGGATACCAGATGTTGTGCTGAAGCCAGCAGGGGAACCAGCATGTGGACATAACACCAACACCATGCTCGGCCACAACCAAAGACGTGGCCCTCCAGAGACATGCAGGCCCCACTCCCCGGGACCTGGGGATGAATGACTAAGTGGCAGGAGGAATTTTCAGATGTGACTAAGGATCTTGAAATGCGGAGGCAGCGACAGGACTACAGAAGAGACCACCCGAAGGTGGAAGCAGAGGCTGGAGGAACATGCTTTGAACTTGGAGACAGAGGACGGTGCCACAGGCCAAGGAATGTGGGTGGCCTTTACAAGCTGGAAAAGGCAAGGAAACAGATCTCCCCTGCAGTCTCCAAAAGGAACTAGCCTTCCTTGATTTCAGCCCAGTGGGACCAATTCTGGACCCTGATCTCAACTTCAAGAGAATAAAGGTGCATCATTTCAAGCTGCTAAGTTTGCGATATCTGTGAGAGCAGCACAGGAAATGAACACAGCGGGGGAGCAGAAAGTGCCTGACCGGCACGAGGGGGATCCTGTGACTCCTGAGGACCCTGAGACCCAGCACCCTCGTCAGGAAAGTGAAGTGGCCACTGCGGGCCTGGAGTGTGGCCGAGTCGGGAGGGCGCGGTGCTCACGACCACGGTCCCCGCGCAGACACAGGCCGCACTGTCACCTCTGGAAGCAGGGGAGGGAGGGAGGGAGCCCCGAAGGGCCGTGAATCCAACCCAGCTGTGATGTCCTCAGGAAAAGACTGTGGTGGTAGCTGGCCTCAAGTCTAACACGAACTCACGGTCGGCTACCACTGCCCAGTGGGGCCTCGGGCTGCATGAACCATCCCCCGGTTGAGATGAGCATGGTCTGCGGGCGGCTGGCTCGGGCACTGACAGCGCTATGTGCCCAGCAGTGTCACCCCCACACGCCACCCCCAGCCAATTTCACACCCATCCTACGAGGAGGTAGGATGATGACCCAGATCAGGGAGGGCAGGCTCAGACGGAGGTAACCTGCAATTCCACCCGCGGTGGGCACTGACCAACTCCCCACACCCTGCACTGTAAAGCTCTCTTCATTTCTACTTCATCAAGTGGGCCCCCGGGTCACAGGGCCAGCAGCCCTGCTCAGGGGGCATCGCCACCATTCTGTACCCAGCTTGCACTCTACTCCCTCACATTTATTTTCTTTTCATCTAAAAGCAGCTGCAAGACGGCTTCCTTGTTTTCAGGCATGAGCTTGTTGTGGGTATGAAGAGACCCCGGCCCAGTTCACTGCAGAGCCGTCTCGATCTGAGTCTGTTACCACCGAGTGGACAGAAGTGCCCGGACACCCACACAGCTCAGTTCACAAGAGCGTGCTCAAGAGAGCTTTTGCTATTAATAAGCTGCAGCTAAAATTTTTCCGAAAAGCATTTATAGAAAGTTTTCACTTTTTATATGATTAAGAAACCACAAAGATGATGATCTCCCCCACCCACCCCCGCCCTGGTGTCTTGTCTGGTTTAACGGTTCACTGTTTACTAAATGCCTCATCTCCTTCCAACACCTCAGATGCCAAGGACCCAGGAGAGTGGTGAACACATCCTGATGCAGTTCGTCCTGGTTGTTACTGCTCACTTACCACTGACCCCCAGAACGTTGCGAGTTTCTCACAGATGTGGTCAAAAACACACAAAAACCCCTCTGCCCTTTATGAGGGCTTTTCCACTGTTACCAAAGGGGTGAGCTTTCCTAAAAGAGAAGCGGATGCTGTTGAGGGGAAGTGATGCTGTTCTTGGGAAGAGAGGAAGGTGGGCCCGCAGGTGGGTGCTCAGCGCAGCGGGTTCTCTAGTCCATGGGGCTGCCTCGAGGTCACTGGGGGCGTTACTGGCAGAGCATCCAGCCGCACACTTGCCCTTGTTTTCCAAACCACATCCAGGTGCCTGCACAGTCCCAAGAGTCTGGGATTCCCACGCACAGGTGCGGCCCACCCCCAGCCTCAAGGACGCGGGTTCTGTGTCGTCCGTCACCGCCACCTTCGCTCAGATCCACCAACCTTCCCTCTGTCGTTAGTTCTTCTGCCTCCCCAAACCCGAGCTGCATCTGCTTTATTCACTCTAGCACGTACTCGGCCCTACTCTACGTTCAGCGACAACACAGCAGGAAATGGTCCATCCCTGGAGGCCGGGGGGCACGGAGAGCACGCTACAGGGACATGCGAGCACCTGCTCTGCACAGACACCGTTCAAGGCCCCGGAAACACGGCTGTGGACGAGACAGTGTCTGCTCTCACACCCCAGCAGGGAAGACAGGAGAAAAACAGACACCACGGAGGAAGTCCTCGGTGTGTCAGACGAGGCTCAGTGTCCTGGAGGAAAGACCAAGTGGGGCGGGGCAGCGGGGTGCCAGCGCAGGGGTGAGGGGGTGAACCGGGGTGGCCAGAGCAGCCAGGACAAGTCCCAGTGTGGGACCAGGGTGCCCGGGGCAGGCGGCACTGTTCTGAGTCCTGGGTTCCCCTTTCCTTAGATACTCGGAACAGGGGTGTCTGTCTGGGAACGAATACAAGGGGAGGGAGACCTCAGCCTTGGACCAAAAGGGAAGATTAACCCTAATCTCAGAACCTGAGACCTTGCGTGGCAACAAGGGACGTCACGGATGTGATTAAGGATCCCAAATGGGCAGACGGCCCTGGCTTTCGATGTGATCATGAGGGCTCTGAAGGGAATCAGGAGGCAGAAGAGGTGAGCCAGAGGGACTGTGACCCCGGAAGGATGTCCTGAGAGCCGCTACACTGCTGCTCTGGAGCTGGAGGACGGGGCCACGAGCCAAGGAGAGCAGGTGGCCTCCGGGAGCTGGAAAAGGCACAACCCAGACTCTCCCCTGGGTCCACACAAGGAACACAGCCCTGTGCACCCGACTCAGGCTTCTCATCTCGGGAACTGCAAATGGAAATATTTGTGTTATCTTAAACTGCTAAGTTTGTGGTAACGTGTAACAAGTGCAATAGGAACAAGAGTGGGGGACAAAGAAGGAAAAGGGCGGAGCTTGGTGAATGGGAAATCCGTCCTGGCGTGGGGCTGAGGAAGGGGCAGGGTGAGGGTGCTGCCACTGCTGGGCCTGGCAGCTGCAGGTGAGGGGGTAAGAACAGCTGTGGTTCTGGAAACCTGGACATCCTCTGCCGCGGGGCGACCTCCTGGGCCGGGGACGTGTGAGATGATCGCGTGTGACAGAGGGAGGGGCAGGGTGGCCTGGAGCACTGAGCGGGGCTCGTGGAGTGGCGGGGTCAGCTCCACAGGGCAGGATGTCCCTGTTCTGCTCACGGCTTCATCTGCAGCACCAAGGACAGTGCTGGGGAACCAACACTAATGGC